TGGTGTTGCTACACTTTCTGACACAAGCTGATGTAAAAGGGTCTTTTAGAAAATACTTTTCTATTGAGAGTAATAGGAAGGGATTAATAAATATGTTCTGAAATAATTTATGAGAAAATCCATCAGGCTTGAAGCACATTGGCCAGATTGAATAAAACAGGCCTTGGGCAGCAGGACAGAAACCATACCAATGTGATGGAACAGAACATGGGGTTAATTATGTTGTTGTAGCTTTTCAGGAACTGTGTGTGCTGGTATTGGCAGTGGCCTTCACTGCCATCTCCATTTCTGTGTGTCATGATAAATTAACTTGAGGGTACAGGCCTTACACAGTTGAAGAACTAGTGCTCATGCTGCAAGACAGCTGGCTTATCCTTTCCAAAGTGCAGTGAGACCAAAGACTGTATTTTCATGGCAAGCACAAAGGTCATTTCTGTGATGTGCTGAGATCATTGCACTGTACAGGTGTGGAAGTGTTATTTACATCCTGGTGTGTTCAGGAGAGGCACATGTGTTAGGAATGATTATTGAATTATTTTTCCCATGCTGAGATAACCTGATGGGTTCAGTATGGTTGAAATAAAAGGAGGGAACAGAAATTCAACACTATTTTCCTTGAACAAAAAGTTGCTGGTTTAGCACATCTCTTTAGTTGTGGAGTTTGCTTGTGTCATCTGGTGGCAAAATGGAGAATTTTGAGCTGCTGAGTTCCATATTTATTATCATCTGTTCATAGAATCACACAGTGGTTTGGGTTGGAAGGGACATTAAAGTTCATGTTGCTCCAACCCCTGCCAAGGGCAGGGACACCATCCACTAGACCAGGTTGCTCCAAGCCCTGTCCAACCTACCCTTGAGCACTTCCAGGGATGAGGCAGCCACAGCTTCTCTGAGCAGTCCATACACCTTCTTTTACTTTCTGTTTGTTGTTGTAGGAAATTTATTTGCAGCAGTATCTTAATGAGCATTAAATAGTTTACTATTTGGGCAGGGGTCTCCTTTCCCCATTCTTGTAATTTGTCTTCTTTATTTCCTGTGCTTAAAAAGTGTTACAAAAGAAACATCTTAAAAGTTGTTGCCTGTGGATTTCTGAAAGATTTATTTTTTTTTTTAAATCACCTTGACAGAAGTTCTGGGCCTACTTCTTGACCTTCTGGTTAAGAACAACAGTCTTGGTCTTTGTAGTTGCTGTGAAATCACTTGTCTGACTTTTAACATGGTAGGTTTTTTGATACCGCTGAAGGAATAGAAGAACCAGCTGTTCTGCTTCCAGTTCTTACTTTCCCACTTGGTGACTGTGAGGTAGCAATCCCTGCCCCAACAAAGTGGGAGAGGAACCAGCATTTGTGCTTCTGCTATTTTATACCCTGGTAAGAGTTACTTCTGCAGCAGTGTGCTCTTTCAGACTTGCATTTGTAGCTGGCTGTGTTTTGTGTGCACTGAGAAAAAGGATAAAATCTACTCCTTTTAGCCATGCCAAATTAGGATATCTCTTAGCTTTTCTGCTGTTGGTGGGATGAAGGTGTTTTTGAAATCTTTTGCAACCATGAAAAAGGATTTACCACCGCTAAAATTGGTGTAAGTCATAGCATGAGCTTGATGTCTGCTTTTTCTTACTGTTCCCCGAGGTAACTTTCTTCTTTAGGATTGTATGTTGAGTAAACACTGTGCATTAAGAGTTTAAGTATTTTTCATTTGAGAGAACAAAACAGAGATGCATTTTACAGAAAACTTTCACTCTATTTTACAGGTATCAGGCTGTTTTCATTTTAATGTATTTTTCTGTGTCCCAAGTCCATCTGAACTGGCTTTTCAGGTGATTTATTTTCTCCTGCTCCAAGAAGAACTTGCCATTGGCTGAGAATCTATCATGGTTGCAATACACATTGCTGAAGGACTTGTCATAAAGTAATAAGGGTTGCCAAGTGTGTGGGACCCTGACATCAGATATGCTCAGCATTGCACCTGGGTCCTGTGACAGGAAAACAAGATGTAAAGAGACAGAAGATGATACAAATACAGGAACAGATATTTCATTTGGCTGATAATGTGGTACTGAGTGCTGCAGTGGTTGTGTGCAGGACAGAAGGTTCCAGATGTGCTGGGCTGTTGTGCAGTCTTGAGTTTTTATTTATTGCAAAGATTTCTGCAAACTTTCGAGTAGGTTACAATTGATTACTTAAAGATTTTTAAGTTAAGTTTGTGATGGACTTTTTCACGCTCTTTATATGAGATCTTTAAGAACAAGTTGGACAAAGGTCTGAAATGACACACTTGATCCTGCCTGGAGGAAATGGCACAGATTAAATGGGAGTTGCCAAGCATGGCTGATGAAGGTATCACAGGATTGGTTTCAGTAGCAGGCACATGTAGGAGGAGCTGTGCATTGCATCCTGTGTTACACCTTATCACAGCCTAATCAAAATTAGTGTCCAGACATCCAATGCTGAGCATCAGACCTGGAAACAGGATGGCCTCTTAAGGATCATTCCAGCTGTATTTTCTGTAGTCTTACATAAACTAGTACGATTGTTTTAAAGGCAAGTTATGTACTTCAGCTTGCTCTTAGAAAATAAGAAAAGGTATCAAAAAAAGTCACTTCTCACCCTTCTTATTGGAGTTTTAAGATACATCTTTGTGGCCTAAACAGGACATCACTTAAAATGGGAAAAACTAGATTTTTGTCTGCCTTACTGTTTTGTATAACCAGTAGCTAGGGTTGGACTGAAGGGATGGCTATCGAGTGCCTAACATGTTCCTACATGTGCTGCAGGATTTACATTAAATAGTGTGGGAGATACACAGTATTTGAGTGTATTGTCAATTAAAAAAAACCCAAAAAACATTTTTAAATAAGGGTGCTCAGCCTGTCCTTGGCTGCTGTGGTGGTTTATCTAACTAGTTCTTCTGTCATACTTGTGCAGGCTTAGTCAGGATGTGATGATCAATCTGCTGGGGCTGTGTCTATGATTATACTATCACCAGAAGGAGAAATGAAACCAAATAAAAATATTCCAAGTCCAAAGTTCTCAATCCCAAGATCTGATTAGGTATAGTTTACAGCAGGGGAGGGAAAAATACTCAGCTGTAATTACAGAAATGCTTTAAAGTATAGTAACATAGATTTGAACTTAAACAAAATGAAGGTAAACTAGTGGGAGGAAACAAAACCGTTCCAGGCAAAACCAGTTTTACCACTTGCAGTTGAAGAACTTGAGAGGAAATACAAAATTATATCTATCTGTAGCTTCATGACATTAATGGATCTGAATGGCTGTTTGTTATTTATAATTGTCCCTGGCCTTTAGCAAGCTATGACACATTTTTGGGAAACCATCAGAGAAACAACTAAACAAAGATGCTACAGCTTTATAATTCTTTCATGTTTTCCCATGTTTAGTGTAACAAACTGTGTTGGTCTTTAGCCCCAGTGCCAAGTTTGTGTCAAACTTTGAAGCCCTTCTTGAAAAGGGAGTCTGCCAAGAATAGGCCAGACATGACTTGAATGTAAAAAGTGCGAAAGTTGAATCAGTTATTACAAAGAAGACATGAAATCAGCTTAAACATTGAGGTTTTCAAATTACATTGACTAAGGAATATTCCCCAACTTTGTGTGGGGGGTGGGTAGAAAGATTTCTGCACATCTGTGTTTGAAGTGGGATTTTTGATGGCAGCACCCAAAGGGGAGTTACCTGGGCTATGTCAGCTGTTTCTCAACTGTGTCATAGTTTAGCTTTAAGCACAGTCATATGAACACCATTCCTGGTCCTGTGATAGCTGTGCAGAGCTTGTCTGAAAGGAGCTCTTGTTTCACTTCATAGGTTTTGATGCATTTCTACATCTGAAGTACGTTTTAGGCAAAACTTCTGATGACCATGTTCAACTGAAGCCCTTTTCATAAGGTTATGAATTTCTGCTTTTGTAAAAGCTCTACAGCACAATGGCTAAAATGTAGCAATAGTTCATTAACAGTTGATGTGTGACCATTTGAAATATTTTTCCCCACTAAATTTTCCTAACAGTACATAGGAAAAAATATTCAAATCAGATTACTGTTTTGGAGTTGCTGCCTTCACTGTCTCTTTTCTTCCGTGTGGTCCTCAGATGCCTTTGCCTCTTTAACTGTCGTGGGTGTTTGGGATTTTTTCCTGCAGAGGTTTCTGGTCTGCTTCTCCTCCCTGTTCTATGAACCTTCTTCATAACTTTTGTTGGTAGCCTTGTCTTCTCCTTGCAATGCAGAGCATGGAGTACTGTATGACCTAGAACATCTCTGACTTTTAGAAGTATTCCCTGTACCAGCAATACACACTGAATTTCTTGATTTTTTGGGTAAGATAAATAATAAAAAAAATATGCTTTTAAAGCTGATATAATGGTGTGTTGGTAATTTTTATGTCAGGGAATATAAACACTGATGCATTCATCAGTGAAATCCAAAATAAAGGGGGGGGGTCACAAAGTTGGTAAACCAAAGAAACAAGGTGATGGTGATCAGCACAGAGTTTTCTGTGCAGTTGATATATTGTAGATGGTTGTTAAGGACTTGATGAAAACTATTAGAATTTATAGCAGAATTGGGTGGGAATGGAAAAGATATCAAATAATTTTGGCTGGCACTACTACTGGTGTGTCCCTGTTGCACTGTTGTGGCTTATGGGTGAAAACTTCACTGATGATCAGTCAAACTAAGGGTACCATGACTCCCTGTGTTCACATGCACTGTTGGCAGTTGTACATTAAGCTAGACAATAATGAAATAATTCATATTTATGTTAATCCCAAGCAGGTTCTCTGGAGTAGCTGGCACTTAGATGAAAGTTATTACATGGTATAACCTAGGCTGGGTGCTTGACTGATGGACCTGGACTGAAATACATCTTTGTGTTTAAATGTGGGTCTATTCAGTTGTTTTGAAAACCACCTTGCACCTTCCTGACTGTGAAGGGCTGCTTTGTTGCTTCCTATCTGCTGTAAAACATGTAATTAGTTGTTTAGTCTAACTTAACTATTTTCTTGTTGTTTAGAAATTCATTGAGTTTGAAGATTCTCAAGAACAAGAGAAAAAGGACTTGCAGACCAGAGTGGAAGCATTAGAGTCACAAACTCGACAACTTGAGCTAAAAGCAAAAAACTATGCTGATCAAAGTAAGTAAAACACGGTGCACTCCCTGTAAGTGATATTAGGGTGCATTTAAATTTTTGTTCTGTAAAATGAATACATATGCTAAATATCTGTGCCCTCTGATTCCTGTACTTAGACAGGTAACTGAGTTTAACTCTTGTGCAAGTTTGTTTTCTTTAGAATTAAGGCAAACAAATCGAATACAAGCTTGTGACTTGTAATCTGATTCTTCTGGTGTCCTGCTTGTATTGTTTGCCTTTTAGACAGTGTTTTTTTCAAATTTAGCAACTTTTTCAGGAGATGTTTAGATTACTTCCTTGTGATGATAAAATAAGCTCTTTTCTTCCTATTAAACAGTTGTCTGTGCTAAAATAAAGGTAGTCTTCAGGTTTAGAAGCACAGTTGGGGTGAGAAGAGCATTGATGGTGATTCTCATTAATTTTTATATTATTTTTGCTGAATTATTTATTTCTATGAGACAGTTTTTATAGAAAAAAAAGTATGAAGAGAACACTTCCCTTTCTAGAGATGTTCTGTGTAATTTAAAAAAAAACCAACTTCTGGAAGCTTTGGAAAAAGATCAGAGTGATCAGTTGTCTTGAAACACTTGAGTCTACATATATTGTAATTTAGACATTCTGCTGGGCTGGTTCTTATCCAGCCACACAGTCACTGAATGAAACTTCATCATCAGTTTTTTTACTTTTCTACTTCAAGCTTCTAAGCCACCTTCTGTTGATGTGAGACTGGTGTGTTCATCAGTTAATATATAGCTTTTATTGCTGGACCCTGCAGGAATGTAAAATGAGACTGTGACAAGGTTGAGGTGACCTGTTTCTAAAAGCAGTGCCAATCATCAAAATAGCCCCTTCTCACTATTCTTTCTTCCTTTATTTCTGCTCAGCCACATTTCCTTCCCCTAACACAGCAAGTTATAACTCTTGTCCAGCTGGAGCTCTAATGCTGTTTCTGTAAAGTTTAATTTTCAGTGGCATGCCTGGGTCTGTAGCTGGGCAGGAGTATTAGTCTGAGAGTGTTAAGATGAATGTAGGTGGCATCTAGGGCAGAATTTCACTGAAATTTGGCCAGTTCAGAATGGTGTTGGCAAATCTTAGAGGCTTCATATCCACTGTTCAAATATTCTCAGATTCTGTACAAGCAGGAAGGAGGGAACACTTAAAGCAGTCTTTCCTAGCAAAGACCAGGGTGATTATTTCTTAGGATTGTCTCTTTGTAGATGAAATCAGGCTAAAATGGGTAATTGAAGAGACTTGTACCAGAAGCCCTGCGATTCTTGTGGAATGGGGTTGTGTCTGTATTTAAAAGTGTCACAAGAGGGGAAAAGAAAACATTGTAGCAGGTGTTAAGTGGTCTGTTTTGGTAACAAAGACACTGTTTCCAGAAGGCCTGTGCTCTAAATGCACAGCCCAACAGCATGTTCATGGGAGACCTTGTTCTCTGACAACAAGATTATGGATCAAGATTGCATCTTGTCATATAGGCCATGGCTTTATTCTTTTGATGCAATCCAAAGAAAAAAGTGGTTGCACAAAAATGAATTGGATTTCTGGCAATGTATGTAATGAAAATGGAATGAAATGGAATGAAAGTTGGATTTCTGGCAATGTATGTAACAGCATACCTGGAGTTTCTCTAATATGAATTACATTTACCATGTATTGATAACACCATTTCATATTGCTCTATGAGTCTGTTGGGGTGAAATTCTCTTTTTGCTTTGAAAAATATTTTATTTCAAATATGTGTATGATTTTAAAGTTTTATTTATACATTATATGTGTGTGTGTGTATGATAATGATGGAAGTATTTTCAAGAAACTCAGTTGTTCCAGTAGAAACACTGAGGGTTGCTAGAATTACTTTTTTTTTGTAAGCAGTAATGTTGCTAAAAACAGTTATCATAGCTACATAAAGCTCTAGTAATAGAATAATGACTTTTAGACAGTTCCAAGATCTGTTTATTGGGGGGAAAACAATCTTTTTATTGGAGAAAAATCTTCTGTAATGGCAAAGTTGTATATTTGGAGGAACAATAGGGCTGGGTTAAACACTGAGTTTGCTTATGCTTGGCTTTGATAATCTGTCTGGGACAACGTGAAAGACTTGGGAAGATTTGATATGCTGCTGATGAAGAGCAAGATCAAAGGGGACATAAGCACGTTTGTTGAACATCTAATGAATATTATGTAAGTGGTTTTTTTAGTGCTCTAAATTTCTAAGGTATGAAAACCTTAGAAGTGTCTATAGTCATGAAAGCAGCTTAACCTTACTGAATTACCTTGTTTTGTTTTATAGACCAGGCAACTGGCATGCTGTACAATCCCAATCACCGATGTGTCACTTTAATTCAGCTCCAAGTCTTTTAGCTATATTTCTTTTTCTCTTCTACTTCCTATAGTACTGCCTGTGCATCTAAATTAGGTTCTGGTATTGCCAACTGTGTTACCACGTTGATACTCAAAATAGTGGCAGTGTTATCACTGGTAATGGGAGTTGCAAATGCCTGGCATAGAGCAAGTAAGCAAATAAAACCTGGCTTTGGAGTGCAGAGTAAGATCACAACATCAGTTCATGATATGAATAATAGATTAGAATGAAAAACAGGTAAAACGTGGTTCCATCTCGTACTTTACCTACAAGACTTCTTGCTCCTTGTAGGCTGCCTGTGCTCAGGTTTTTTTTCCTCAAATAAGCAAAGCCTGTGAGAACAAGTTTTGTCACAAGGTTAGGAAGTTTTGACTCATTCTCTTGAACACTGTCAGTGCTGAACATTGAGTGAAGACTTGTCAGCTGGGGTAGCTCTTAAGTTACATGGTTGAGTTCAGCTTGATTGTATGTGCTTAAACCTGTGTGCCAGTTAAAATTGCTCAAGAAGATACGGTTGCTGTGTCCTGAATTTTAAGTACTTGTTTGTTCAGTCTAAGTGATTGTCATACTACATCAAAAGAAAAAAAAAGTATTTCTTTGCACTTAAATTTACCCTGTGGGATTGCATCTACAGTCGTGTATTCAACCAGTTAGATTGGAATAAAGCTGTGTGAAATTACAGAAGTGAAATCAGGACGTTATTTTGTGTCAACCAGTTGCTGGGCTCTTGTGGTTCACTGACTTCTTCCCCTGCCCCCATCAGAAACTGAAACAGTTGCTGCCAGATGAGTGCAGTACCTTGAAGCGCTCTGTTCTTTTTCAGGAGGAGGTGGAAAGAGGGAGAGATGACAGCAAGACACTGCTGGGAGGACTGTGAACCCAGCAGATGATGAAATCCCGAGTGGTGGGAGCAGATACACTGGAGTTACCACTCCTGCGTGGTGTAGCACTCAGTACTGGTTGTTGATGGGCTGTGATGGTTGCCTAAGTCAAGTTTGCTGCCAAAACATGGTGCAATTTGTGGCACCCTGGGATAATTGGTTAAACATTACAACTGCTTAAAGGAGAGCAGAGGCGTAAGGATTTGCAGCTTCTATTTGAGCACAGGAATGTGCAGTGCTGATGAAGCTCCTTGGCTTGTGATCCAGCTTTTCATCTTGTTTTGGTGCACTGTTGCTCTTGGTGGTAGCTTTCCCTGGGTTGCCCCTGTCTCTTGTGTGGCCTGGCTCTCAGCAGTACCTGGACAAAGAGGGGGGAAAGGTAGTGCCTGTGCTCTCAGGGTCCTTGCTGTGTGGAAGGTCAAGCAAGGTAAATAGCACAGAGTTCCTGGGGATTTGTTTAGGAATATGTTGGTACAGGCAGAGTTTTTAGAATTTTTTGCTGTGGCACTATAGTAAACTTTTACTGACTGTTGGTAAATATCTATTTTTGGGTTTATGACTTACCTAGAATTCATGTAATTGTTTTCCTTCTCAGCAGCAGAGGGCACCTGTGAACATGATAATGCCATGTGTTCAGTAAATAACATTCTTCTGCTCTGCAGTGGTGTATCTGAGAGCAATGCCAGTTTTCAATATAATCTTAAATATTTCTTACAAGAACTTGAAAATACCTGACTTCCACATTATTTCAGGTCCTTGCTGTTGTGAGACCCCCTGGTTCTACTTGTAATTTGTTTGCAGCATTAAAATGTTTGACATGTTGATCCTGGACCTGGAAAGTAGAGGGTTGTTAAAAACTTGTAATAGCAATCCACAGCTCATTTGCTGAGCAGTGCTCAGTGAAGGCACATGATACTGCTGGGTTAGTGCTCAGTCTCCAGTTACAGGAAGGGATAAGATCTTCTCACAGCTCACGGGATGTTCCACTGAGTTCTGGCAGGGAGCTACACAGGTTTATTTTAGTTTCTTTCCTTGCCTCTCTCTCTGGGAATGTCAGTTTTCTTTATGTATTACAGGCTGTAAGTTCATTAAATTTTTGGGAGTAAAATATGACTAGTATATTCTGACTTACTACAGGAATGGAACAGCTTTGGCATAAGCTTTCTGGAGGAGTCATTCTTGGAGTAACTTATTCATTAGAGACGCTGAAAAACACAATGTCTGCATGACTGAAGTGCTTTCTGATGGATGTTGTGGGCTCTGGGAGTTGAAAGATTTATCTCCTTCTCTGGATCTGCCTAGTGCTAAAGTACAACCAAAATAACAAACTGCATTTGACAAGACAACAGATATATTTACATATTTGAGTTTATCAAACCTGAGCTTTGTGTCCAAGATAGATTACATTTGGGGAAAACTACATTTGTGAAAGAAACCTAACAAAACAAACAAACAAACCCCAAACAGGTATAATCCTAAGAAACAACTCTTGGGTTTTGGAGCTGTAAATGTGACACAACTCTTGGGATGATATTTCCCGTGTTGGGTGGCACTGTGCAGCTATTGCTTGCTGGAGGTTTTATTTGGGGTATGAGGCAAACACTTTAGAAGCTGACCTAAAAACATTTGTTTTTCTCAGAAGCTAAACAGAGCTATTGCTTCCATTGGCTTCAAGAGAAAATGCAAGACTGGGTTTTGTTGCAAATGTTCCTGCAGATGTTATTTGATATTTGATTTTCTTCTGAGCTCTCAGGACACCAGCATTGCTGTAATGTACACCCAGGCAGACAGCCACTCATGGATAATCTGAAGGTATCCAATATCTGAGACACCGCTGCACATGGGATATCATGCAGCTCATGTGGATCTGTAGTTAACAGGAAGACTCTGATGTGAGCTTTCAGCTGTGAAGTTTAACAGAAACAAAAACTTCCCAGAAAATCGTTTTGAGATTTGATTTGTGTATCTGCACAGATTGTGATGTGAATAACTAAACTGGTGTGAAACAGCTCTGTCAGTAAATGCTGCTTCTAGGGATGCCTCAACTGGTGTTTGTTTCAAGGAACACAAGAAAGCTTTTCAGTAGATCCTGGAAGGAAGTTGAAAAGTTCAGGTTTGTTCAGTGGTGGTCTGGATTGTTCCTATTTCATTTTCACAGACTGACAGCAGCAGAACTAATCTGATTTCCAGCAAAGGGAGAACAGAATGGCTTGAGTTCTTGTATTTCTCAATTAGCAGATGTGAAACAGAGCTGTTTGCTAGTGTGTTCTCAGTGGGGATGTTCCTCATCTCTGATGATGTCCATCATTATCTCAGGTTTGTTTACCAGGCAGATTCCCCCTGCCCTTTGCTACACTGCCTCAGGTATCAGTCGCTACACCTGAAAAATCCTTCTGTAAGAAGTGTGAGTATCAGGGTGTGCTGGAAAAGGGAGGCTTTCCTACTGGCTCTGCATTTCCAAGTGCTTTTCCTGGCTGCCCAGAGCTGTTCCCAAAGACCTGCTGTCTGTGTGGTTTTGGGAGCCAGCAGCCCACTAGATGGTGCAGGGGGTACAGCTGGCTCCAGAGCAGGCACCAAGCCAAGCTACAGGACTCAAGGCTAAGATAAAATGGAGCAGGAAATTAGAGCAGTGACTGCCCTGCTTTAAGCTTAGCTGTTAATATACGTGAACAAAAGTGGTGAGAAAAGCTTGAAATCCACTAGTGTATAATTAACTGCTCATGTGTGTTTTTAAATTAAGGGAGTATTGTAGTTTATGTGATGGAGTTTGGTTGTTATAGTGATTCTGTGGCTCAAAAATATTGCAGTAATTAAGAAAATTACTTCAAATGTCTCTTAGAATATGACATTCCTGAGTTTTCACTGGCTTTAAAAACAAATCTCGTCTGCTAAAGCTTCTGTGTCCACACTGACTTCATGTGTATTTTCTCAGACAAGGACTTGCTTCAATAGCAAAATTTGAACATTGCACTGTTTGCAAAGCAGTCAATCAAAGGTTTTCTCAGTGAAACACTTCTTTGTGCAGAGACTGGGCAAGAAGTTGGATTTTTCACTAGATTTTGTGTAGAAGGTTCTTGTATATATTCTTGATTGAGTTTCAGCATATATGAGTGATGTCCTGGCATGTGCTTGTCTTTATATTAAATGTTGTGGCAGAATGTTTAAAAGAGTTTGTTGGTTTTGTTTTTAAAGTTTTGTGTCAGGTTTTTGGTAACAAATTGCAGGGATTTTGTGTGCCTGAGACATAGTGCGAACTTGAACAGTCCAGAAATGTCAGGGATAAGACCATTGTGTTGATATTTGCTATCAACAGAGCATTCTTGACAACTAAATTATCTTCATAATTTCAAGTGCCCTACTTATTAAACTGAGATCTAGACCTGTAGTTCACAGTGTAAGAGCTACTTGAAGATGTTGGTCTTGTCAAGGGATTGAATTTTTCACTTGTTTTACAAATTGGTTTTTTGTGCAGGTTTGATTTACAGGTCTTTCCACTTCCAGGTTAAACACTTGTTTGATAGCTCAGTCCTCTTTTCAGTCCATGAGTGATGTGTGTAGTCTTTGGCAACTAATTAGGAGGTCATAAGGTCCTTCTGGATCTACATCTTAACTTTGGTGTGGGACCTGCATTAAGGAATAGAGCCAGATGAAAGCTGTCCTAGGAAAGTCTTCAGACAGTCCTGGTGCCAGGAAAGGCTCATTTATGAGCTGAATCTCCATCCTGGCTTGTGTAGGAGGAACTTGAAATTCCTCTTGAAGGCATCACACTGGTTGGATTTTCCATTCTAGCAGGTGTGTTTCTCTTTCTCCCCCTCAGGCTTATCAGGAGTTTGAGGCAGAGGACAACATACAGATGAAGGGTGTTCCAAACTTGGTAAAAGCCATCAGACTTGGGAGGTAAGCTCTGACTTTCAAACAGGCAGGGTGGGCAGCTTGGCTGCCTAATTCCTCATAATGCTGTCAGGAGACAGAAACTCCAGTTTCTCTAGTTTACTATTATATTTAATCTCCCATTTTTAGGCTTAATTGGTTTTCTGTGAGAGAACTTTGATCAAGATTGGTATCTCAGGTCATTAAAAGCGTTAGAACATTGACAGAGAAGTTCACACTAGGCCTTGAGTTTGAGTTTGTGGTGATGTTCCAGAGAGATGCCTTCTCATCAGGCTAAAAGCACTAGAATATTGCATTTCATGCTCATACTTAAGATGCTTGAAGACCTTTATATGTTTTTCCACATAAGCTTCTAAGAGTGAGTAGTGCAGCCTTTTTGTTGAATGTTTTATTTTGCACATGTATTATCTCAAACAATATAATCTTGCAATGTAAAATCTTCCTTGATGTAACAAGGCTTTGTAATGGCTTTGTAAAGACACATTGCAACAGAGACAATGGATACTTTTCCATTTAGGATATATATAATCAAACTAATTTTATCATCTACCCATAAGAATTTGACATCTTAGTGCAAAAAAGTCCGAGACTGAAGTATCAGAGGAATTTTTGTATTGTTACTTAAGTCAAATTGATAGGAACTATATCTGGTTGGCACTTGGCACGCCCAGGATGTGGCAGGCAGTGCCAGCACAGAGCCCCATTCCACCTGGGGTGTTATCAGGGCCAGACTTCCACTCCTTTGTATGTTGGTGTATTAAAATGGAACTGGTGACAATTCAGTTTAAAATGTGTTTCTGGGTGCCAGTGAAAGGCATTTTGCCCTATTGTTTAGTTTTCTGTTACTGCTGGTGGGAGCGTTCCTTTAATAGTGACTTAAGTTTGTCAAAGTTTTTGAGGTTTTTTGAGAATCTAGTGGTCTTCTTCAAAATTCTTCTGACTCTGTGTTCAAGTCAGTGGTGATCTCTGATCCTTGGGGAATATCTGATCTCTTGCACAGTGTTTAACTGGAAAAAGAAAGTGTATTCTGTTGGTTGTTTTGGCAAGATCTTATCTTGATGGGAGGCATATTTTGGGTAGAAGAGATTTCTGGTGCTGTGTCTCATCCTGCTGGTATTGGAAAAGCCAGTTCTGAGGACTGTTGATGTGGTGTCTGTTGAGGGTATGTAGCTTAGTGTACATCCTCTTCTGGCTGAAACTTCCAGCTCTAGGAGTGTAACGTATTGCACAGCTGGAAATGACTTCCAGAAGAAAGTGCTTAATGTCAGTTGTATCATTTTCTGGGCTTGTAATCATTTTAACCTTTGTACCTAATGAAAACAGTGGTCAGATCTAATGGAGATATCCCCCTTGAATATGCAGCATCACTAGGTATGTACATTTGTCTTCAATGACTTGATTCAAGGAATTATTTATTATAACTGGGCCGTTAAAGTTTTAAAACATTGTAAAACATTTCTTTCTTCACAGATGGAGAAAGTGGTGTGCTTCTTTATGGAACCTCAACCCCTGTGCAAGCGTGTGTTGTATCCATAACAGTGGGAAATGCTTTTGAGGATTTCCTGAAGGCTGGTTTTGGGCAGCTGCAAAGAAGGGTGTTGGTAACACCTGATGTGGTGTTAATCTTCATTAAATGTACTGTTGAGTACTTTCCCAGTATCCACTTGCAGAATTCATCCCTGGAGTTGTCTGCATTGTCTAGACACAAACTCACTGAACAATGTTGGGTGCATCACTCTGGTTTGTGTGGGAGCTCCAGGTGAGGCCAGAAGCAGCGGGGAGGCTCTTTGGACACTGTTTGTTGGAGAGGGAGCTGGTTTAGCAAACATGAGGTCTATCAGTTGTGCAGTTTGCACTATCTGATCTCCTGTTTTCCCAAAGGAGGTTTAGCATAGTGGAAAGGTTATGAGGGAGATCCTCTGGGAGCTGTGGTACACACCTGGGCATGGTGTGCTCACGTGGGAGCTGCTGAGTATCTGATGGGCAGCTTTTTAACATCTCATAACTCATGACTAGGATGTCAGGCAAAGATAGTGGATAAAATATGGTCTGTCACATCATAGCTTTGTTAATTGTAAGTTCTGACTCTTGTTTCTGTAGTCTCTTATCAAAGGCTTCCATAAAACTGCACTTCAAGTGTACAAGGAGACCTAAAACACCTTGTGCCTCAAAACAATCAACTGAACTCTTCCATTCAGTAGTGTTCTCCATCGTTTATGTATTTTTTAGATGCATGCATTGTGCTGTAAAATATCTTTTTCTCTGTGTTGTGTTATAGATACTTGTGCCTCCCTTGCTGCTGTTTGATCCAAAGAGCTTTTGTTCCGTTCGATAAGAGGGCAGAAATGGAATCATTCTATCTGGCAATGTTATAAATAATATTTGATGTAATAGTTTAGCCAGATATTTATAGGTTATGCAAGAGGTTGTGTCAAGGAACTTAAGGTTCTTTTAAGAGCAAGATTAGATTAGGAGTTCAGAATGTTTATACGAAATAGACATTTATGTATTTTGCTACCAGCATTTGACTTGGGCAAAGACTTTTTTCCATTAAAACATAATTATGATAAAATACTGTGCCAAAATACAGATCTATAGATCAAAAATAAATGGTATATTGAGAATTAATTTTCAGGAGACCCAGTTGGCAACATCAAAATATGCAAATGGTAGAGAGGAATCTTAGCATTTGTCTTCAGCTGATATGTGTCTGGCAATGACTCTCTGGAAACATGGAACTATACATTTGAACTTTCCCAGGGATATTTAAACAGAGCAAGTAGAATAAGCTCAGTTACACAATTTGATACATGTTTATGTCACATAAATATTGTATTCAAAAATAACTGAATAAAAAGATGGAATTCACATCTAAGCAGCAAAAATGTTTTGTGTTTGAATGACACAATAAGATGTGTGTAGAAGGTTCTGAATTCTGTTAGTTTTTCTGCAAATTAATTGCATTGGGATATCACAGTTGGTTTCAGCTTAGTTTCATCTGAGCTGAAACATAGCAGAGATGAGCTGAGCTGCTCAGTTTGTTTCATCTCCCTTTAATAAGAACTTACTGTCTAAAGTTCTCCTAAATCTGCTAAATGTATTTTAATTTCTTGGAATACCTACAGAAGTATTCAAATGATTTCTCTCCTTAAATCTATTGCCTTAATGCTCAGTGAAGTGTGAGTGAATGCCAGCAGAAATCTTAATTTCACATAGGGCTTGAACCTGTTTCAACAAATACCTTGTCTGTGTTTGTCCTGGTTAAACACCTCTGGAAATTGTGTTTTAGGGAACTGATATAGGACCTTAGCTGGAGCCCATGGCTTCATCTGGGATTGAGTGACTCTTCCTGCAGTTTCCATGTGAAACAGTCTGGATTGGGGTGAGCAGTGAACTGGCCTTGAACAGAAAAATCCCCCCTCACTGGCCTAGTAATCAGCAGAGGAAAATAGGACTTGGGCTCTTTAGGGGGAATGCAAATTGTAAGATTGTGCTGCTTGATGTACTTAGAAGCTCTGTGATAAGAGCTTAAAAACACAAACACTGACATACTTTTTATCCTGCTTTGTGCTATTCACTACTAGGAATACTCTGATCTGCTTGCTTAGTCCTAGGCAAGTCAGTCTCAGTAGAACACTAAATTTAGTTTTAATTTTTTTTTTTTGTTCTTCCAGTTAGCAGACTTGAGGAGCGGGAGGCAGAACTCAAGAAGGAATACAATGCACTTCATTCAAGACATACAGAGGTAGGTTGTTACACCAAGATGATTTTGGGGTACCTGTAAAAATGCAGATCTGTGGAAAACCAGGTGTTGAGAGCAATTTGGAACATTATTGAATATTTTGGTTTGTACACCAAGTTGTAACCAGGCTTCATTTGTTGATGTAGTTCTCCTCATTCACATCCAAGTGTCTATTTCTCAATGTTTGATTGCACAGCTGTGATTTTTATAGCTTTGTCAGATACTGAGAAATTTTAAAAGTTTTTTCTTCCATGTTTTACTAGGAAGGGATACTTCTTTCCTTCTGAGTTCATTTCACTGATGTCTTTACAAGTGATCCGTCTTTGATACTTACTGAAATCGCAATTGTTTTTATTTCAATTGACCAAATAATGAACAGAGCATTTAGCAAGATTTTTATTTTTTTAATTTAGCTCTAAGATGCTTGCTTTGACAGATGCATAAAGATGCAATGTGACTGCATTTTATGCAATCTTAATTTCTAGCAATTTTTCTCTCTTCTGTCTTCATTATTTGTTTCCTTCTACCTCCCACTCCCCCTTATTCTTTATTTCACTGATGAATATTTCAGAGTTGGATGTCTTTCTCTTCCAACTCCTGACCTGAGATTCTGTATCTATGTCCTTCACAATACCCACCTTTCAGCCTTCCCTACCTGTCTGTGGCTGCCTTTGCTGGAGTTCACTGCCCAGCAAAGATGCTGGCTCAGCACCCCAGGGAATGTCACCCATTTACAGTCCCAATGGACCAAGACCTGCTGAAACTGAGTCACCTTGAGGAGTTCCACCAGGGATGTAAAGCAGAGAGCTGAATCAATCCCTCTCCACAATGTGTGTGTTGTGGTGTGAGCTGGGAGTTCTCCTGGGAGCTCAGCCTGCCAGAGACAGGGTCTGCATTGCACTTGCAGCACTAGCCTGCCCAGCAATGAGGTGGCTGCAGATGCAGAGGTAGCAGGGCTGCCCTGGCTGGGGAGAGCTCTGGGGACAGGCTTTACCCTCACCCTTTTGTTAAATCAGTATCTGTCCTGCTGTTCTCTGGAGAGGGAGGTGGGCTGACTGGTGTGAGTGCAGGATATCCCATTAAGCTTCACTCCCACTAAGACTGTACTTGGGCTAACTGGCTTGATTTTAAATGGATTAGGGTATGAGAACCTGAGGATAAAATGTTTGGTCAGAACAGAATAGATGGAGCAGCCTGAGCATGTTCAGACTTCAGTGCTCTGGTTCCTTGTCTTTCTTGTGCTTGCAGTGGGTTTTGATCTTGTGCTGATCATACTCTAACACTCAGATGGGATGAGTGACAAAGCAGTGTGCTGGAGTTGCTGAGGTGGAACTTCTGGAACCTAACTATGCAAAGTCTTGTTTTCATCTTTCTCTGACTATAAAGGACCAGATGCAGGAAGCAATCATACAACCGAGGGAGGTGTGCTGGAAAGCAGAATAGTTGACAGTGGTCTAACACAGAAGTTTTTGAATCTTTGCTCTTTGACTTAGAAGGGAATTCTCTCAGTTGCCTCTTGTATCTCAAATACTGTTCTGTTTATAGAATCTGGTTTGTTTTTGTGCCTGGATTAAAGCAGACCTGTCTGCTCTTTGTACCTGTGAGGGCTTTTTTGCCTTTGCTGCTTTTTTGCCTTTGCAGCTGGTACCTCTTTCAGGGCAAACCATTCAGGGTGGTTTTGTCTGCTAAGTAGGATGTAAAGAATCTTACTTTCTATTTTCTGCAGAGCTAAAGGGCATAACTTCATAACTATGGCAGTGGCTTTTTAAAGGCTTGACTAAGGCTTTTATGTTTATTACTCAGTTGGGAAACTGAGGCAAAGCAATACTTGAGATCTGCTGGAAAACTGGCTGATACCTGTGGCTTCTCTCTGCACAGGTTTCCAAAATAAACCTCTTTTTTCTCTATTTAAGGAAGTTATTATTTTTCTTCTATGGGGAACACCAGGCTGAGGTGGTTCGATATCTTTCCCTGACACACAGAATATGGGCTTAGTTTAATGAAGCATAATTGGGTCATGGAAGTTTCTCAGTGTTCTGCACTGATACAACGTGACAGAACAGTGAGCCTGGCTCCAGCATTGGGAATGGACTTTGTCAGGTTCATTAGGATAAACACATCCCCAACAAGTCCCTGGGCAGGAGACACGAAGAGAAGGCTAATGGAGGTGTCTATTTACAATTATAACTAAGCATGGGCAGCTCTCACGTTGTCTGTGAGATTAGACTTTGGATATCAGCTCAAGCAAATAGTTTTTCTAAAGCCTTATGCTGAACATTAACAGCTTGATCTATAAAACCTGGATTTAACATCTTTACATACTTATGTATCTGTCAGCAGCACTGTCTTGTGTGTGGATAAAAATGCATCAAGCTCTCCAGTGGGAATGGTGCTTTTACTTACATGAGAAACTCACCACAAATGCTGAAAGGAAAAAAGGTACTTACATGGAAGTATGTTTAGGACTTTGATATCAAGGAGATTCTAGAAATATCTGTTATCTCAATAAATCTAGATTATGTGGGACAGAGAAAGATCTATATACAGACAGTTGGGTGCACATTCTCAAAGGGAGGAGCTGCTTATGCCCAGCCTGATTGGATCTGCAGGATAAGCAACAAGAGCTGTAGCACTGAGCCTGGTCTGGCAGCGAGAGAATTACTAAAACCTTTCCGGGGGAGCTAAAGCAGTGACACAAAAAAGAAGGAGGAGTAAAAGGGCAAGGAAGGTATAAAGGAGATGCTCTCAACCTGGTTAAGGCAAAGGTGCAGGTAACAACATTCCCAACATGGCATATCCACCTTTGTTTGTAACAAGTGCCAGGCTTGTATACATTGGGAGTGGTTGTAAGTGGTTTGTAAGAGTGGAAATTGAAATGAGTGCCAGGATGTTCATTGACTTCTACTAAATGCTGAAGTTTAAGATGTAGATAAACCTTGTAACACTTCTGCAGTTGTAAAACTTGTCACATGCCATGTGAGGAAACCAATCTGAGTATTTTTATGAGGTGGAAAGACATTGCATTCAAAGGGAAAATGGATTTCATGTTCATGCTGTAATGTGTTCAAAAGCATGTTGTAGTTGTTTTTGTACATGTGCCTTAAAACTGCTAACACCTGATCTGTGAAATGCTTTAGCTAGGGTAATTCTTCCAAGTTCCAAGTTTATCTTTAATCCCCTCAGCTAATTGTAATTGAGGAATGTATTTAATTACAACAATGCTGAAGTGCTCTGTGTTTGTGATGTGTATTCCTTGGGACAACTGGTTGTATTCAAAATACTTGTGGACTTCATAGGCAGCAGAGCGAATTGTCCATAATGAAACTTTATGGATGATTAAATATTGACTGCAGCTTGTATTGAAGATGAGTAGACATAGTCAATTATTTATCATCTGTCCTCCAGCATAATGTCAGTAAAAATTGTGCTGAGTGGAGAGCAATTCAATCTATTTAAGTCTATTTTTAAATTGTCAGTAATGTTAAAACCTTTTTATTTCAACAGCTGAATAATCTAAAACAGCAGAACTTCTAACCAGATTTTGAGCCCTCAGAATTCTAGTGCATTAATTCATGACACGTTTTTGGATCAGGATGGCACTTCATGGATATGCCAAGACTGGATGGTCATTTAGATTGAAAAGATTTTTGAATGTCATCTGGTTCAAATCCCAGTGGTTTTGGAGTGAGTCTTCAAAGTTTTATTGCAGATGAGCAGTTAGTGAGCTTACTTCCCAAGAAGCTGCAGTATTTATTACTTTAACCTTCAAATTAAGTTTATGGAAGTTGGGAATTCACGCATCATTTCTTATGACTCTACAGCACCAGCTGTGGAGCTCCCCATCCCATGGGGAGGGAGGGTGAGGATCTCTTCCTTGTGGACACTTTTCCAGTATTGTCAACTTATATCCTTGGGACCCTGGACTGAGGCAGAGTGTGGGTGCTTGACATGGTGGTACCACTGTTCTGATTTTTTGGACACCACAGGCACATATAGCTTGGATCTGTGGAGAAATTGCTGTGCAGCACTGCACATGAACATAGAACTTGATGATTCTGTGAATCTTAAGTTGCCATGCAGCTCTGCACATTTTGTTTTTCATTTTATTTTTGGGTTCCTATAGCTAATATGCATCGTGTTGAAGTATGCGATCTATGGATTTGCTTATTTTATTATCAGCATCATTTTCAGCTGCAGAACAATATAAATTGAATAGTCCTTTAAATTGACCTGCCCTTCAGCCTCTGTGGGTAATAAATGTGATGAGACATGTCAGGAGACAAAATAACAGACTCAGAGATTAGGTTAAAACCATGTCTTTTGCAGAATATGAAAGTTGTGTGGGTTTTACTGACCCTCTTCTTTTTTCCCAGATGGTAGCAGCTCCCTGGAGATGTACTAGAACTCATTTTCTGTTCACTGGCTGAAAATACAACAGTTGTGCTGTTTAATATTTTACTTTGAGGAACCAATTTGATGTGCTGCAAATGAGTGTTTGTAGACAGGTCAGCAATATCTTCCTCCTGTGATGAGGGAATACATGAACAGGATACAGAATGGTCTAATGTGCATTTCAAAGTTATGCACTCTTGGGGTTCCTCCCCTCCCCTGGAATTTCTAAACTGTCTGCATTATAATAAATTTATGTAAAACTGTGCAAAGGAACAATAGGAACTCGTAGTTCTGGCTGCTTGGTTAAAATGGAAAAAAACAAATATGAATAGTTGAAGGTGGAGCTTTCAGTCCTTTTGTTTGCCTCTGTGCAAGCAAGCATTAACAATCAGAAAATAAATGGGATGGTCTGGTGAAACACTGTGTTTTATTGGAGGATAAATGTTGTAAGCTTTTGACAGCAGTCCAAGTACATTATATAATGCTTCTCTGAAAATAGCATGATATTTTTTTTCTGGTCTGAATTATATTTATTAGTTCAGGTGAATGCTGGGAAAGCCAACATCTGTATGTAACCGGCACTTAACATGAATTACTGATTTGAAGACTATGCATCAGTCAAGGATATCTTAAGCCAGTTTGTTTGATCACAAAAATCTGAAACTAAGAATATTTATTCCTATGTAGCTAATGCTGACAAGCAGCATTTGAGAAGCTGGCACTAGCTGAGGTTGGTGGCATCTGAAGGTCAAACTTGGATACATCAAACCTGTCTTGAGAGTAACATGTAAACATAGGTTTCCAGGTCCTGCTGAGTTCAGTACTCATGTGTGCAGCTGCTCCCAGAAGAAAAGATTATATAAACCAGTTGTACAAATGCTTGGTAATATCAGTAATCTGAAGTGTTTGTATACCCTTTGTAGAACAGCAGAAGAAATTACAGTTTTAAAGAATAGGTTTGTTTTTTTTTTCTAGAGGAAGCTGTTAAGATATGACCTGAATATGTCTCAGGAAAAAAAAAATTACATTAAATTCCTCTGCAGTACACCTGTGATTTTTCTTCCTTTATTGTTCCTAGAGCCCTATTCATCTGTGAACGTGAATGTTGGAAGTGCTAAAAATACCAAATTGCACATGAGGCTTCTCCTCAGGCTTACCCAGTTTTAAGTTCAGTTTTAAGTGTCCAAATGAAGCCCTTGGAATGATGCAGTGATACCTGGTCCTTTTCTGTATGCATGTCCTAGTTACCTGCTGAGAGCAGCATCCTTTGGCCATGGGAGTCAGGACTCATTAAATAAGTCATGATTTATAGATTAAGTCATATTATATGACTTAAGTCATGACTGCAGGAGTACCATGTTGTCTTGTGTCTCTTGTGAGAAAGAGAGAGCGAGCAGAGCTCATCTTGAGTGCTAAAAATCCACACCCATTCTGTCCTTTTAATGAGATGTCAGCCTAGATAATTTAAAACCAAACTTCCCTTGTAGAAAATACAGAAAGCTTAAGTTTGTTTGTATTTTAGGAGAAAAAAGGAGGAGAAATGGGGACTTCCTATTTCTGCCTACAGAAATAATCTGATAATTAGTCTGCAGATTCAGAGTGTTTGATATTTGAGGGGGCCTATTGTCTGACCTTCACAGTACTTTGTGATTAGACCTACAGTACCTATTATGTATCATGTAAAAAATGCGAATATCTGCTGGACATAGAGGTCCACAGAATACAGATGTATGTATGTACATGTTCAAAATGGATTTGAACATGGTACTTCTTTTCCAAACTCATGTTTGAAATATTGCTCTCACTTTCTTTAACCTTAGGATGTTTCCTGTGCATGAAGGTACAAGGAAGTTGTCCAAAATTTTTAATTTATTATGGACTTTTCTGATTTGTGGTTTTACACACTGTATAATTTTGCTTCTTTATTTCTTTAATGTCTCTAAATGCTTTTACTATTTAGCATTACAGAGGGAGAATATATTGGTCAAGAACTGTGCAGTTGTAGTACGTGTTACTAAATATTTCTTGCTGTTTCTGTCCTTTTAAACAGATGATACACAATTATATGGAGCACTTGGAAAGAACCAAACTTCATCAGCTAACAGGGGGTGATCAGCTAGAATCCACAACACACAGTAGAATTAGGTAAGCTATTTATTGCTCTCTCACCCTGAAATGAGAAAAAATTCCATTCATTTGTGTTTGCAAGACTTTGTTCTTTAATCCTACAACAACGGTTTGGCTGAATCAGAAAGATTTGTTGTACGATTGCAATGCGGTAAGAGAACAACGTAGAAATCCATAGAAAGAGGCTTTTGCTGTCGTGCTGCTAAGCACTGAGATCTACTTCATGCATTAATTAGCCTTAAACAATTTCAGCTTTTTCGAGTGTTGGTGTTGGGGCAGGCAAGGAAAATGTCAGTGGCTGTCCCAGCACCGCCAAGGTCTGGCTGCGTCTTTGTGTGCGGGGCTCTGGAGGTGCATGCGTGGTCCCTGCTCGTCCTCAGGGCTCTCTGGGAACAGATTATGCAGATCTGGGGGCTTTGGAGCCTCTGAACCCTTCGTGGAAGGAGGGAGAAGCACTCCTGGGCTGGCTGTGCCTCTGCGCTACCGCATCAATGCTGCGAGGAGCGGCGAGGGGGAGGAGGGCGGTGATGTCATTGCTCTGGAGCTGCTGCAGAAGAGTGGAACACTGCTGCTGCTGATGGCATTGTTTTTGTGGTGGCGGCTGAATGACAGACTTTGCCTACAAAGATCCCCCCTTGGCCCCTGCGTAGCCTTCTCGGAGCCGGCGTTCCACCATGCCAGCACAGCGCCATGAATCCGGGCTGCATGCTGCTGTTTGTGTTTGGCTTCGTTGGCGGGGCGGTGGTCATTAACTCGGCCATCCTGGTGTCGCTCTCTGTTCTGCTGCTCGTGCACTTTTCCATTTCCACTGGGGTGCCAGCTCTGACGCAGAACCTCCCAAGGATCCTCAGGTACTCTGACCCACTGAACCCTGTCTTTGTGTTCTCTTGCTGCTCCCCTACTTTCTGTTCTGCTTTTTCAAACGAATTAGAGAAGTAAATTATATATAAATGTCAGGCTTTGTTGTAAATGTGTCTGTGTACAGACATATAATCTATTTTTTTTTCATTGCCTTTTATTTTAGGTCACTTTATGTATCTCTGTTTTGTGCAAAGCTTTTAACATCAGTTTATTGTAACCTGCTGCAAAAGCTGCAATGTTAATGTCAGGGATAAAGCTCACGTTCAGTGTATTGTCAAGTACTTGGCTGATCTTGTGTAGCATAGATGTATGCAGTGTGAGGCTTTGTACTGTTAAACTGCACCTGTTTTAATCAAAAGGCTTATGTAAGATCAATTGATATTAAAACAACAGTAATTAACTGATAATGTTATTTTCAAAAAATCTGATTATTGGTTGGTGGGGGGAAAAAAAGTCTTTCATTATTTAAGCATTAGAGCTCTTAAAGCCTATTCACTATTGTTCAGCCAAATGTTACCCTCTCCTCTGTTCCTGTACTTGTATGGCAAATTGCCAGCTGTCTTTCCCCCCCCCAGGTTATGTTCTGTTTGTCCTACGTGCTTGGAGCAGTAGCAGACAGAAATGCATTAGAATGTTGTGGCCAAAAGTAATCTTGACATGTTTTAATACTATAATTACAGATGGAAAACAGCTGGAAAAGTTTTAAAATGCACCTTTCTGGCCTGAAAACTTGACATGTTTTAGCTGTGGTTATAAATTTAATAGTAAATTTTATTTTAAATGGGAAAAATGCTGGAAATTAGTGTTCTCTGAACAGCTATGTGCTTTTTCCTCCTTAATGGTGCATGTAGACTTCATATGGTAATTTGCTTTTAACTTGGGTCTGTGAGCACAGAAATGTTCCAAAGGTTAAAGGCAATCAGTAGATGAAAGAAATACCAATTTATACCAGCAGCTGATAAAAAACTTGAATGAGTATTTAAATACGAAGAAATAAAATAGATTTTGATTAAAACCCTATGGATTGATCTAGTTAGTAAGGCTATGTTTGTTTAAAAGGGGGGGAAACCCAAACCCAGAACAAATATTTCCCAACTCTAAAACCAAACAAAACCAAAACAGAACTTCATATTCAGTAACTTATAAGATATTTTTAAGTTTTAGGAGTCTAAGAAGACTAAGGTTTAAGTTGAAGGTTTAAGGAATAGATTGTTTGTTTGGGGTTTTTTTGGTATTTTTTTTTTTTGTAACATGATTTTGGTCCCTTGGAGTATTTAATGGATTTGAGGGGTTTAGGGAAACTATGCTGTTTCCTGCTCTTCTAATTTGCTTTAGGAATTACATGAACTGGAATTCACTTTCTTAATCTTCATTCATTTAAAAAAAAGAGATAAAAATCTAGGATGAAGAAATCTAATGGTAGAAGAATTGTTTCTATTTTGTAACACTAGTCAGATTTTAGAACAGAAAACCTTAAAGTTCTTAAAGGTTCCTGTAAATAATTTAGTGCATCACTTCAGAATAATAATTTAGGCCTTTAAAATACTTGTTTACATTCTGCTTACCGTGGCATTTTCGTATGTTTTTGGGCACTGGGAAAGCAGAAGAGGTTCTTTGCTTTCTGCTCAACAAGCAGTGAAATAAATGGAAATTACTTCAGTCTCATTTCAATTATTTCATTTCATGCAGACATTCACATAATAAAGCTTCGTTTCCAAAATTAGTCTCTTTTGCAAACTTCATTTACTGTACAGCCTTGCAATTCACGTGACCTCTGTTCCAACACATCAAAATATGTTTTATTATAAAATTTCTTTCAAATTAATCTGGAAAAAAAAAGCAATGTCAGGTAGGAACTGTTTTGGTGCCCATTTAATATTCTCTCTCTTGAGGATTGCAAAGCATCTGCCTTTCTGGCAAGTCCTGCAATAAGGAAATGTGCTGGAGCCTCTGCCTAAGTTCAAACCCTTCACAATGCAGCTCTGTCAGCCACTGAAGAGGAGCTTTTCTTCCTCCTTTTTGTTCCTGCACTTCTTATCCAATGGAATGGCCTGTCTTTTGTTCCTCACACGCCTGAGAGTTATGGGAAATCTAAAGCAAAGCAGGACGTGTTACAATAGTGGGAATCCTTGGAATCCACTGCGGGGTTTCTCATTCCAGCAGTTGCAGATGCTGGAACATTATCAGCTCTTTTGAATTTTGTAACCCAGATTAAAAATTTTTGAATTTTGTAACCCTGATTTTGCTTTACTCACTTTGCTGCATACTACTTCACAATTACTGACTTAATTTGGAATAATATTTCTGAAAGGCCAAGATAGCTCCAATAGGAGAATTAAGTGTAAAGGTTTTTGTGACAAGGAGCATATTTGTACACCTGGACTGGAAAGGTTCATGCCAATTAGAATTGTTTGCTGTTTGAACATTGTGAGTTTGACAATGTAAAATTTGCCAAAGGGAGTTTACTGATTACTTGGTAAATAAAATCCCTTCTTCACTAACTTTTCTTCAAAGTAAATAAAATCAAAAATATGTCCAAAAATGCTTAACTTTTGCTTTTCAGTGCTCCCTGCCATATATTAGCATGTATTTTGTATGCAAATACCAATTCTGCCTAGGTTATGTTTAATTTGTGAGGGGCCTTGTGAAAGAAAGCACATTTGGTTGTGACTTGACCTTTTATAATGCTAAAATGTGAAAACTATGACATCACTTGCACACACTTTTATCTTCTACTATACTTAAAGCTGTGCTACTTGATTATAGTCATTTTTTTCTGCATTACATTGTTCTGCCTAAACAAACACTTTGCTTATCTCAGTTCTAAGCCTGGCTGATATTTTTCCTTTTCAGGACTGGCCAAAGCATCTTATGAATGGCATTGCACACAATGTTTTTGTCTCTTCCTAGCAGGAAGAATGAATCCTCTTGTTCACTGAGCACACTACTGACCTGGGGATTTTTTGTTTCTTTTTGGGGTTACTACATAAACCTTCCAAATTTCCAAATGCTGTTTGCCATAGGGAAGTAGAAAGAGTGAAAAAGTGAAAATCTGTGATGAAATAATTTGCTTTGCTGGCACAAGCTTTTGTGCAGCTTTAGGGTGAAGCAGGGTGTTGAACTGATCTTGGGTAAAACTACACAATTTTTAGCAGAGCCAGTTGTAGCATTGGTAATTCCTGGCCCATTGCTTTTCTCTTACACAAATCCATGTAATTTCTGTGGTCTTCAGGAATAAAATACCCAATGATTTGAGAAGAGTTGCTTGAGGCTTACTGTTTACTACAGTTTTGCAAATGTTTCAGTTGATGATTTAGCTGTTTGCTGTTGTAGAAATTATGTGGTTATATCTTGAAGAAAAGGGTGCAAAATGATATTTTTAATAGTAGCCAATGAAAACTAATTTCAAACTGAAGTAAGGGGACACTTTTGTCTTATACTTCTGTTGGTGTTTTATGTCTGTGAAACTTCTGTTTGCTACAGATTAGATGCAGTATAAATCAATAACTGCTATTTAAAGCCATGGAATGGACTTGGCAATTGTGAAATGAGGAATTATTGGGTGCTGTGGCACAGTGTGGGTGTGCTGCACTGCGCATTTAATGGAGCAGCGTCTGGATGTTTGAATGTGGAATTACACCACTTCCCTGCTGATTCCAGAGGCCTGCAGGAAAATAAACTGTGGGACATCTGAGATGGCTGATGAACCCTGCCTGTCTTTCCAACAGGAAGGAGCGTCCAATATCCCTGGGCATCTTCCCATTACCTGCAGGAGATGCTCTCCTCACGCCTGAGGCTCAGAGGGAGGTGGCAGAAACACCGGCAGCAGAGCACTGGAAATTCCACGAGCTGAGCCAGCCACGGTCCCACACCAGCCTCAAGGTGAGCACAGCCTGGCTGCCTTGTGTGGCAGGAAAAACTCCCATAACAGATGGTAGATCTCTGGAAGGATGGAAAAAAAAACAACCCCAAATTGAAAGACAGGTGGTAGACCCCTAAAACCTCTCTGTATATGGCAGGTGCGTTGTTTACTCCAGTGAGCTTTGAGGGAACCTTCTTAGTACAAGAAACAAAGTTTTGGGGGCATTTTCCAAATGAGTGATAATACAGGTTAGTTCTCCTTTTATTCTCTGCAGTGGGTCTTTTCTTTCTGATGAGGAACCCTTTTTAAAGGTTCCAACTTGTTTTTCTACACTAGATATGTTACTAGATAGTGGGAACAGTCTAATTAGTTTTATCCTGCACAGCATTGCAGATGAGTTACTCCTTCAGATTTAATTATTGAATTTTTAAACTATTTTTTCTTTTTTTTCAGGCAACATAACCAAAAAAGTCAATTTTGCTAAGTCAACACAGCACTGACTTGCAAATGTTTAGGCTTTGAGATATTCTGATTAATTTGGTGTCACTTAATGAAGTTGCTTTTGCTTTTCTTTAGTTCTAGAACAAATACTCTTAACAGTTTAATCTGTGTGGTTTCCAAGAGTAAGCTAAAAAGATACCATAAAGTCAGAAATATAAAATAGATGGGGTGATTTGAAATTCCCTTAGGGAAAGGACCATTCTATTTCCCGTTTTTTCTTGTGCTGTTGTCAAGCTATTTTCCTTGAGCTTTGTGTGTGAAAGTCAGTGATCAGTTTGTGCTGCATCAGTTAGTGGATGCTCTTGGAATACAAAGATGTTCCAATGTCTAAACAGAGCCAGCAGCTCTGCTGAGGTTTTATTCCTTGTTTGCGTGAGCTCTGGATGCTCTTAGTAAGGGGCACCACTTCCTCCCTTCTGTATCTGCTCACTCAAGTATGAAGAACCATTAGCCAGTCCCTCAACTTCACCCATTCAAAAGGCCTTTGGGTAGTGGTTTTTTCTTTTTTTTTATTCCTTTAGAGGTGTCTGTATTTCTGAATACTTTTGACAGAAAATCACATATTAATAATTGGTTATTCTGCAGTTTACTATTAAACAATGACAACTGTCAGTAATTGATAGGCAATTAGTGCTGTATTTTTTATTTCTAGGGCTTGCAAATTCAGTGTGGAGATGTTACTGTAGGAAGCAAGCTTTAAATTTATGCTGATACACATAAATGTGTATTTTGCTTCCTGTCCCCACACAAATAAAAATTTTGCCTTAGTAAGTTCCAAAAGGAGAAATTTGTAAGTTAAAATTCATAGTAATCTTATGCTAAGTACAACAGAGACAGTGTATATCTACATGCAGGTCTCTGCTGTGTTTTTTTTAAAATAAAATTTATCTTAAAATTCAGTTTCATTTCATCCTCAAAAAGGCATGCAGTGAATTTGTGCTTTGCAAAATCTATTTTGCATTAAACCTGTTTTGTTCTTGACAAGTTCAGTCATGTTACCTTAAAAAAATTTAGCAGACTTGTCCAGGAGCCTTGCTCTCACCTCTGATTCCCAGACAAACCCTACAAGAACTTCTGATAAAGGGTTACCATCCTGCCTTTCTTTTGCACACAGCAACCTCAGGTTTCATCTTTATTTTCCACAACAAGATCACTCTAATGCTGTGTGCTAGAAACTATTGGCCTGAACAGGCAGGCTTGTTTTCCTCTCTGCAGTGAGCTGTTGTTCACTGTAATGTGCTGCTTAAGTCATAGATCAGACATCTGATGTAGGTCTGGGCATGAATGGGAGGTAAAATGTGGATGAAGGAGATGAGAGAAGAGCCAAAAAAGGGCTGTTGGTATATTCAGGTTGTGTCACACACAATCCACTCTGCCCTTCCACCCAGTGCTTGATGCAGCTCTGTCTGAGTAATGGTCCCAATCTGGATTAAGTCCATAATTAATGCAATACTTGTGGGTCTTGACACAGTGTCACTGTAAATTGTTACCAAGAATCAGCTTTGGAGGAGGAGCTGTTTACTGATGTTCCTTGGTGGATCTGAAATCTTAACTGGACAAGGAGTTACCACAGTTCCATGTCTCATTGCCAGTGTCAGCCAGTGCTCACAGTTCAGACTGGAAAGTGCATAAAATCTGAGTGAAGTGCTTGCAAATCTGGGAATGTTCATGGCCAGCTTGGACAGGGCTTGAAGCACCATGGTCTAGTGGAGAGTCCCTGCTCACCACTAGACTAGGGGGTTGGAAGAAGATGATCTTTAAGGTCCTTCCCAGCCAAAACCATTCTGTGATTATGATTCTATGAATTACTACAGTTTATGTAGTTAAATCCATGTTTGCATCAGTGCTTCAGTGGCTGCTTTTTAAGGTACCATGTATATTCTGAATCATTAATTTTGTATCAGCTTTGGGAAAATGTAGCAGTTCATTGTGCAGCTAGGAGGACTCTTAGAATGAGAATGCTGCTTGTTTTCTGGAAGACTTCATGGAAAAGTACCTTAAAGTTGTGACTAATATTATCAGCTGAGATCAAACATTACTATTAAAAATAAAGGCATTTTTATTTAGCTATAACTGCCATCAGTGAAACAGCCATAGGCTAAAGATGACTGTATGGCTTAAAATATTCTTTTTATTTATCTGTCTTTGCATTTGTGTAATATTCGGTATAATACAGTGGTTTTGTTGTCTGTTCCTTAGTTTATATGCCCATCTCTTCTATTAACACTTTATGTTCATTTTTTACTGGTAATGGTGCAATTCTAGGATGAGCTCTCTGATGTTAGCCAAGCAGGATCCAAATGTACTACTCCAGCATCCACAGCTGCTTCAGATGATCCTGTGCTGCCTGCTGAAACCCCTCAAAAGGAAAATGTTGAAGGGCTTGCAAAGAATTATCTTTTGCTGTGCCACAAATGAAAATGGGATTTTTACTCAATATTTTAAGTATAAAATATTGGTCAGAGGTTGTTTTTGGTGACTTTAGTCCTTTTTTCTTCAGAATCAGAATTTTTTAATGACGTTTCTTTGGCAGTAGAAAAGGCACAAAGTCACGAAGTATTGGACATCATGGTTTCAATTGCAGAAATAGTAGGAAATAAGTGCTGTTGGATGATTGTGTTAAATTCAGAAGAGATCTAGAAATTCCAGTGTCTGCACTAGAGTATCAAAATCTGTGGGTCTTTTCATTTAATTACCTTGATAAGTCTTTGAACAGAAGTTCAAAGTTGGTGGTTCATTAAGAACAAGTTGGTGGTTCATTAAGAACTACAACATGTAGTTAATATGTCATGATGATTCTGATTATGGGCATGTACCACTTGCTTTGCCCCAGGGGGAAATGAAAATGAAGAAAAATCTGAAGTTCAGGCAATCATTGACTCAACTCCAGAGTTGGATATGGATAAAGACATCAGTGGATATAAGGGTTCCAGGTAAGTTGTGTTTTGTGATTTGAGGAAGAAGACAAATTTTAGAAGGTTATTTAAAGATGTTCTGTAGGGGAATTTTCCTTTTTCTTGTCTTTGTTTCATTCTTGTGATGAGAAAGATAAAATTACCCAGTGTGGTGAATCTTAGGGGTGTAAGAGCTTTGTGTGAAAGGAGCCCCTTCTCTGACCAGAGGAATATTTTGACCTCCTACTATTCAGTTCTCTTGCATTCTTGTTATATTAAATGACTTCCAGTTTTGCTGAGCTGTCTGTTCTTCAGGCATTTGGGCTAACTAAGCCCTGACACAACTGAATTTATATAGGCCAAAACTTGATATACTTTAATTTATTAAAATAATGTCCAGCTCAGTATCAGCAACTGCTTCAAGTTTGGGATCTTGATGGCACAACAGTATTTGAAAATATAATCTAGAACTTTTAAGCTAACTGAAAACTTGTGGGGCTTGTTTGAGGGAACAAATGAACTACTGGTAAAAAAATCCAGAGCAAGCTTTTCTTTGTTGTGGGAGTGTTATGTCCCTGCTTTTCATGTCTTGTTTAATTCTCTGCCCAGCACTCCCACCAAAGGCATCAAGAACAAAGCATTTGACCGTAACACAGAGTCACTCTTTGAAGAGCTGTCATCTGCTGGTTCTGGCCTAATTGGAGATGTGGATGAAGGTGCAGATTTACTGGGTAAGAAAGGTTATTTAAAGATGCTGTATACAGCAATTTTCCTTTTTAGGAAGTACTTAATTATTATTGCTGGATTTATTGTTAGGCTTCATTTGCATTAAAATTGTTTGAGTAGCATCCTGAGGTAGTCATTGGAATGCAAAACCAGAAGAAAGTGTTTGTTCTTTCTCTTTGTATAATGATCTTAATCTTTTGGGGCACTTCCTTCACTCTTCTCCATTTCTCCCTGTATTTTCTCTTATGTAAGGATTTTTATCTTCAGGAAGGATTTTTGCCTTGAACTAGTTCTAGGTAGTTTTATTCAGGTCGTGCCTGATCTCTAGTGGCCTGGCTTTATCACCTCCTTAGGGATTTTAACTTGAAGGAGAATTGCAGCAAATGGAGTGGTGGTAATTTGAGAATCAAACTGTTAATTTATAGGGGAGGGGAAACCCACATTTCTCCTTCCACTAAGCAGCTTGTTGTTACTTCTAGGCTGACTGAAAAAAACTTGATTTTTGGGTCAGAAATCAGATCAGAAATCTCATCAGAAGAATGCTCTTTCTATAAACAACATAGCAAGTTATTTTTTGCTATATAATTGTTCAGGCTTCATTTTGAAATAATGAATACTATGGAATGTATAAAATGCAGATGCCACTCTCGGGTGCTTTTGAAATGGGCTGTAGGCAGACAATCAGCAGCTTGTTTGCTTCTGTACTCTGACCCTACAAAAATACAGATTGTTAGCACTTAAAACTCCTGTATGCAATCTGGATTTCTGGTTGTTCACTCTTCCTCCAGAAACTTATTTTACATCAAACAGGTGACATTTCTGCAGGTATTACTCATTATGAGTAATGGGCCCATTTCCAGTCTGAGATGATTTTTCTTTGTTGTCATTTTGTGAGGCTCTCCACATCCTTAGTGCAACATACTCCATCCAAAACTCTTGGATGTCATTCCATTGTCACAGGGACAACTAATCACACATTCTGCATGCAAAAATACAGATACTGGAGAAGTATTAACATGGAGTAACACCCATCCCTTAGCTGTGATAAATTGATTAAAGAAATCAAACTATTGTCAGGATATCCTGATTCTAATGCTTTGTTTTTCATGAGCAAAAAGTAATATACTTTTTAGTATAACTTATTAAGGGTTTGTCAGTGAGTTTATTACCATTTTCTGTTAATCTATTGCTGGAAGCACCAGTGTGTGCAAACTAACCCTAGAGTTATTCCTGCATTTGTTATGCAGAATGTGTTGGTCTGAAAATTTTATTTTAAAATCGTCATTTCAGTTTGAGGACAACTGTAGTCCAAAACCTGAAAAGTCACACCTGTATCCAGGCTAGTCTGTGTGAAGCATTTGGACGTGTTCTAAGTGAGCATTAAACTTCAGTATGGAGTTGTGTAAAAATAGTTAATTGGGATTCTCTAATCTGTTTTCTCTTGGGCTGCATACCCAGGGGAATATTCTGGTGTGTATGCTTCTTTTTTCAAAAAATCTTTGAAATCTGTTGCTTCTCCAGTTAGGCATTCTTGGCTGCTGCTCTCATAAAATACATTCTCTGCATTTTTTCTTTGCTTGGTAACTTTTTTTTTTGCTGTTGCACCCTAGCTTTCTAGTTTTTGTTCTTGCATTATAAAAGATCCTGAAGCCTGTTGGATGTGATCCTACCTGCTTTTATCTGTGAATATTGAAAGTGTTTAAAAAGCAATAGCAACTTGAATAAAATCTCTTGATGGCTGTAGTATAGGGGATTTCACCTGATATTGATAAATTAATCATGGCTAAGTTACTTCAGTAAATGTTATTTAATTTTAATCCAAAACCCAGAGAGGTAAATGTCAAAAGAGGGAACTTTGACTTGCATATCTATTTATAGATACTTATTTTCTTTGTTATCCAAATATCTTTAAAGTATTCTGCTGCCAAAGTTATTTAGAAGATTGTATTCCTAAAGTATTTTAAAAGGCCTCCACCATTAAGATACCTTTTTCATTCATTATGTTAATCTTGAATTAACATAATTTCTGCTGTTATCTGTGTGGTAATTATTTTGCTGTGCAAGATGCAAAATAATTATACTCTCCTGAAATTACCTTTTTTAAAATTCTGAAAATTACACAAGGTGTGCAAAAAATAGGGTGAGAAATTAATTTCCAGAAATTTAAGTAACACTGAAGTTGTTACTTGAAAAGTTATGTTCACTTTTTTCCATAATAGCATATTAATTGGAAACTTCTGAATGGCTTAGAATTTTTTCCAAGGACTCACAGAAAATGAGAGACTTTTATTGTTACTGATTTTTATAAGAAGTTTAACCAATGGAAATGGTTGCAGCAAACTTAAATTCTTCAACATCAGTCTTCTGTATAAATCCTGCTTCTAATCATATCACATCCCACTTCACATTTTTGGTGGTGGCTTTGTTTTAATTCACTCTTACTTCCTAAATCTAAATATTTTATTACTCCTCGCTCATACTACACCTCACATGAAATGTTTCTTGTTCTTGTTTTTGCTCTACATGGAATGCATGGGCTTTAAAGACCATAATTTCTTTGGTAAGGTATCATTTGTTCTGGGGAAATCTGCAGGGCTTTCACAATCTGAACTTTATATTCAGCATGTCTTGTGTCCATAACTGATACTCTTTGGTATCTAATGTGGTGTAAAAGACAGTTGATCATTTTAAACTTAACTTTTTGTGGTCTAACACTCCTGCAACATATGCTGTGTTTGGTTTTAAGTACTGAAGTATCTTCTAAAAATACAGAGTAGCAGCACTGGCCTGTGCTTAGTCAGGGATGTCTTTGGGCTTTAATTGAAGTCAGACTGGGAGAAGGTGGGGGGAAAAGTTTTAGAAAGGAGGTTGGACCTGCAACTTCAGCTAGTTCACAGTTCTTCTGACAAGTTTGTCATACTTAAAATTCAGTTGACTTTAAACAGTGGCAAAACACAAGTTTTGTAAACACATCAATTTTATTTGCTAATTTCATGTGTTTGTTTCCTTTGAAAGGAATGGGGCGTGAGGTTGAAAACCTTATTTTGGAAAACACTCAGCTGCTGGAAACAAAGTAAGTGAGACTGTGAGAAGTCATAATTACTGACTTCCTGTTATTTCATTATATCTTCAATGTCCTGATACAGAATTGAAACTATACAAATGTGCTTTCAGTTCTAAGGGTAGTGGAGGTGTATTTGTCTGAGTTGGTCTTCTAGAAATTAAGGGCCTAAGAAGCAAAATCTGCTTTTATCCTTGTAAGGCTCCAAGACATGCAGTGCTGTGTCCTGATGAGATCAACTCTGTGAAAGACATGCAGCTTTAAGTGCAGAGGCAAATCCAGTGGAGCACTGTTGAGGACTGATTTATCAGTACTTTTTTCTAATAGAGAGGATGTGAATGTGGTTGAATGTTGGAGATTTGGACGGGGGGAGATGGTTTGACTTCTAGGAAAGCTGTATCTTTTTACAGTATCTCTGTGTAAGAAATGTGTAGGTCTTCAAAAATAAATCCAGGCTGGATTGTGAGACCATGGTCATCCTTGTAACCATGTGTTTTCAATGTTCATGTAGAAATGCACTGAATGTAGTGAAGAATGATTTAATAGCAAAGGTGGATGAATTGACCTGTGAGAAGGATGTACTACAAGGTGAATTAGAAGCTGTAAAGCAAGCAAAACAAAAGCTTGAAGAGAAGAATAAAGAATTGGAAGAAGAGCTGAGAAAGTAAGTTTAATTTAATTCATGTAAAAAAGTAAAAGAAAAACTCTTCTGTGGTGTTTAATGCAGCTGGTTTTTATTTTGTATCTAGAGCTCGTGCAGAAGCAGAGGAAGCAAGACAGAAGGCTAAAGAGGATGATGATGTAGGTGGATATATATGTGTGTGTGGTTTTGTGTGTGTAATTGAATGGGACACTAGAAGTCTGTGTGCTTAATGAGTTCTACTAAAACTTACTGCCTAATAATTAGTGGTACAGTTCCTCTCTGTGTAGAAATGACAGAAGGTCTAAAGGGCACAAGTAAACTTAAATTGGCAGTGATTGGTTTGCTTGCTTTCCTCTCTGCCCACTATTATCACACTCTTTATTTGAAGAAATGTTTTAATTCATGTTATATCACATACAAAGGATGGGAGGAGAGGAAGGTAAAACTCAGATTTTCAAGGCCCTTAACTACTTGAAATCTGGGGTTGTGCCCTAGCCTGGCTGTTACCAGGAGGCAGAGGGTGGCTCTGCAGGGCCCTGTGGTGCTCATTTGTCCCTGCCATGTGTGTTTTTGTGTGCCCAGAGCGATGTCCCCACGGCGCAGCGGAAACGCTTCACGCGTGTGGAAATGGCCCGAGTGCTGATGGAGAGGAACCAGTACAAGGAGAGGCTGATGGAGCTGCAGGAGGCTGTCCGATGGACCGAGATGATAAGGTGAAAAGGATCTTTGACAGAGCTCCTTGTGGTTTTTAGCTGCAGAGTGATCTGGTCAGCAGGTTCATTGGCTTCTGCCTGTTTTCCTCATGCCCATGAGGAACATTGTTTTTAAGTTATGGGCATAAAATTTGTCAGAATAGTTCTTGGTGATACCTCACCAAGTGGAGTGAACATCTTCATCACAGTGAAGATGTTACTTCATATGATGTGAAATACATTTTTTCAAGGGATTCTTATTTTAGAACAGTTACAAAAGTTGGTAATTGTAAACAACATTAATCTGATGGGCAGTAAAAATTACTCTGCGTGTACACATACCTTGTGATGTCAAAATACAGATTACGTAGCCTTCAGACTGAGCATAAAATTCCTTTGGAAGGACTTAGGTTGTTCAGGATAAAACAGTTGAAAGTTGTGCAAGGTGTGTTAAATATGAGCAATTAAGATGGTGATTTGGTCTCATTTGCATCCTGAATATTTAGTTGTTTGGAAGGTATAGTTTAAAAACCTAAGTCTCAGACCTCAGCTCATCCTTGTCCCTGAGCACAGGTATCAGAGGCTGTGGTGCTGCCTGCTGGCCATGGACAGCAGTGACATGTAATTGTTCCCATTGTCCTCATGCCTGTGACTGGGAGGAAAAATGCACATTCTCAACAGCCATGGCTTGTTTTTCTGTAGCTGTTTCTGATGTAGAAATCCTCTCCTATCTCTTATCTATGGCTATAGGAACACTTACTTTATCAATTATTTACTGATGTATTGAAGATTAACAGGCTTTAAAACAAAAAAGCAATGGTTAAAATATTAAATAGGGGACAGAATAATTTTAAATGGTTTGCTGCTTTCTTCAAGCTCTTTTCATTACAAAGTGTTATGCAGACTTGTCTCTTCTGTCTGAAAAGTTGCTAGTTTGTTTGGGTTGCAAAGAAATGTGGATGAAGTTTATTATGTAACTCTAGTTCCTCTAGTGGGAATTTCAATATTGTCCTCTGATCAGTAAAGAAGTAGCAGTGTGAAAAAACAGGTTCTGTTATTTTCAAGATGTTATCCTTTTCAATAAAAAATAAGAGTTACACACTGTTCCTTTTCCTTTTTTAGTTGTTGTTTACTGAGTAAACTTGGAATTCATTTCTTGTAGAGCATCCAGAGAAAATCCAGCCATGCAAGAGAAGAAAAGATCAAGCATTTGGCAATTGTAAGTATAGAAAAACAACTCACTGGCAGAAATAAGTAAAAACTTCAACCAATTAGCTGGCACATTTGTGTATGTTAGCTAATTATTTTTTGGCAGATAAAGATCTCTTAACCCTCTCCTCTTGTTGCCCAGCATGCCAACTTAGTAAGATTGGTCTTGAAGACAAAATGTATTGTAAGCCACAGCATGTAGTGAGTGGCTGTGAACTTTGTCAAGTTAAATGCCAAAGTGCTGGAATTTTTTTTCCTAGCTGAATATGCACCAGGATTCTTCCGAACATTTTTTCCGTGTTCGTTTTTATGATGAAAAGTAGAAACTGAAGAGCACATGTAGATTGCATTTACTTCAGCTTCTTTTCCCTCTGTGAAGTATAGCTTACTGATTGTTACATTCTCCTTGCTGACCTCAAGCTCTTTAAATCTAAACCAGTGTTTTTCACAACGAGATATTTGTGAAATAATCCTTTTGATATTGTGATTTGCTGAAAACTGTTTTATCTTGTTGCCTAGAAAATAGTGAGGTTTTTAAAATGCTCTCTGCATGAACTAGTGTCCTTCATAGAACTGTCCAGGTGTGATGTTCACATCCTAATTTTGTTGGTTCCCTGTAAATGTTCATTCACAATGAAATTCCCATTGCATTTGAAAAATGGGATAATAATCCTTTAAGATTTTTTCTTATGGACATGAGTTGATGTGCTTTGAGAGTGTTAGTGAGTGTGGTGGCTGCTGCTCTGTTGGGCTCCAGTTTTTACTTCAGCTATCTTGAGCAGGCTGTGTTTTGCCTGCATAGTCAAATTTGGATGTATCTGACAAATCTTGACTCTTGTCTTTTTCTTTTCTAGTTTTAGCAGGCTCTTCAGTTCATCCAGCAATACAGCAAAGAAACCAGAACCTCCTGTCAATGTTAAGTATAATGCTCCAACCTCGCACATTACTCCATCTGTCAAGAAAAGAAGCAGCACCTTATCTCAATTACCCAGTGACAAATCTAAAGCCTTTGAATTCCTCAGTGAAGAGTAAGACATTTTGGTTTTATACTAGTAGATATGCTCTATCAAGTGTTCACTCTTTTAGTCCTCTGAGATTACTAGCATGCTGCTAAGTGAGGTATAATGTTCTCCTGAAGTGAGTGTTGATTCATATAGACTCAAGATAATGCAGAGTGAAATGTACAGCAGTGGATGAATATTTTCAGCACCTGGCTGAAATATTCTACTTGGTAAATACCACTGTCTTTCAAAAAAGTGCATTTAGGCACAGGAAGCAATACTTGGTACACTTCTATATGCAAATGTTGTAGCTGGGCAATAACTGTGCAGGTACTTAAGGTTCATTTAAGAGTCAGGCTACCAAGTATCTGTAATTATTTTTTTCCTTCTGTGCTTTGTTTTGGCAACATATGCTTGTGAGTTACAACTTCTAAAGCTCCTAGTAGAGGTACACAACCCAAATTAATTTCTTTTAAGGTTGCTGGCAATGTACTTTCTGGTTTTGCCTGGTTTTCACTAGTCCCTTAAAAATAGCCCACAGGAAACCTGGTATTTTGATAGGTGAAAAAAACTGGGGATATCCTTGGTAATCCAGTGCTTCCACAGAGATCTTTGTTGTTGAGGTTAACAGCAGTTCCCCTTTCACAAGAGATTCTAAAGAGCAAAAGTAAGAAGTTCATCAATCCTGATTCTTGCCCAGAACTGAAGCCAGTTTAGCCTCACGCCGGGAGCAGAAGAGAGAGCAGTACCGCCAGGTGAAAGCTCATGTCCAGAAAGAGGATGGCAGAGTGCAGGCTTTTGGCTGGAGTTTACCTCAGAAGTACAAACAGGTATGATGTTTTCAAGTGTAATGCTAACAGCTCCAGGTTTTGTCACATTTGACTAGGGTATGATTTTACAGCTTGTTTGATTGATTCCAGCTTTTTTTTTTTTAACTTAGCAGTAAAGAATCTTTCTAAAGAAAACAGAAATGCAGAACTCTTAATTGTGTTTAATGAATTCTGAGCAACTGATTCCAAAGATTGTAAACCTCTTTTAAAGGTAAACCTTTTCCTCTTTGTTTGTTTTTTTAACTAGGTGGCAAATGGTGGACAGGGTGAAAATAAGATGAAGAACTTGCCTGTACCTGTTTATCTGAGACCTTTAGATGAGAAGGATACCTCTATGAAGGTAGGATATTTCCAGCGATGTTAGAGAGATTTGGGCAAATTATAGCTGGAGTATTTCTGTTTTGTACTCAATTACATTATTTTTCTAATTAAGTTGTTTCTTTTTAAAGCATAGTGAAGATTTTATGTCTCAATAAAATGTATATTACTTGAGTTGTAATTAATAACTTAAAATGGATTTTGGGTATATAATAATGTTGATATCACTTAGCATATTTAACAATGCTTGTGTCTCTTTTTTAAGTTTGAGATTCAAGTGAAACATTTATTTTTCTCCCAAGCTGTGGTGTGCTGTAGGGGTGAACCTGTCAGGAGGGAAGACACGAGATGGAGGGTCTGTGGTTGGTGCCAGTGTGTTCTACAATGATGTGTCTGGTGTGGATGCAGATGGCAACAAGCAGCAAACAGGATCCCAGAGTAGCTTAGATAAACTAGACCAAGAGCTCAAGGTAAGGTCACTGCAAGGCACATTTAATAATAATTATATAAATAATAAAAAAATAAAAATTATATCACTATGCATCTTTACTGTGTAACTGTAGAGTGATATGGTATTTTCTAATCAGGTTCATTGGTAACAAATAGATTTTTCTTGGTTAGTCATTAGCCCAGGATATTTGGGCTATTGAATCCAACTATTAAATACTTTGATTCTTCCCTTGCTGGCAAATCTCAGGAGCAAAGAAATTTTACATCAAAATGATGGACTGCTTATACCAGTGCTACCTCCTTTAAAAACCATTTGTGACAGAACTGTTTATGTTCTAACTGCCATGAATGGGATTAATATTAAGGGCATAAAAATAAAGTCTTAATTTTAAAGTCCTTTGGTATATCACATTAACCTGTGGTGATACTGGGTATGGTAGTTGGCTTGTCAATAATATTTTTATATTATACTGGTCTAACTATATAATTATGCAGTGTAATTATAATATTTTATGTATTTTTAATATGTATGTATTTTAATACGTATGAAATATGAAGGAGGTTTATACTTCAGATATGTGGAGAACAAGTAACTACATGTAATTTTACAATGGCATTGAAGATATTTAACTTCCCACATATTTATGTATATTTCTGTAGGTGAAAATGTAAGACCATAAAAGATCAAAGGTAATAATTCTATTCTTGTCCCCCTTTCTGTTGTTAATTTTTGCCTTTGTTCTGCTTCAGGATCAGCAGAAGGAACTGAAACATCAGGAAGAATTATCCAGTCTGGTTTGGATCTGTACTAGCACACATTCTGCTACAAAAGTTATCATCATTGATGCAAATCAACCAGGGAATATTCTGGACAGTTTCATTGTTTGCAATTCTCACGTGCTTTGTATTGCCAGTGTGCCAGGTAAATACTTGGGCTGGTTCAGCTCCTGCTTTTTTAACTGTTCCTTATTCAGCTTTTCTTAGGCAATGAAAATCCACAGATTTGTTACTTACTGTGATAAAGAATTAATGTAACACAGCAATAGGAAAGTGTTTAATTGCACATTAAACTATTGCATTTCTACCCTACTGTTTCACTCTTTAGTTGGCTGTTGACCTAAATTAACTGAAAATCAGAGAGATGTCAGCAGCCAAGGGGAGCTGTTTTGTTTGATGTACTCTAAACTGTGCAAAAGTGTCAATATTTCATGGAATTGTGAATATCACAAAAGGAATAATATGCTGGTTGCTTTTTTGACCTCTTCAGCCCCCTGAAGATAAGCAGCAAGTCTTGCAGATCCTCGCAGAGGGGATCTTTGTTGCATTTTTAGTATTTTAAGTCTTGAAAGTGTAAGAGGGCTGAACATGAGAAAAATATTTTTTCTTCCAGAACAAAGGATCTATTGAACCTAAACTCTTCATAAAGATATAGATAGGTGCCCTTGCATACATGCACTCTTATGAAATCTAATTTTAGAGGAAGATAGAATTAAAATAAAAATAACCTATTTGGAAAACCGCAGCTTGAAATACAGTGAATGACATTGTAGGGCAGCATATGTCAATCTTGCTTTTGTTTTGTGAGCTTTGTGACAGCATCCTCCACTTTTGCTGATCATGTTCAAATAACCTTGTAGATAGAGGCCGTCTGCTTGTTTAATCTCAGTTGCTGGAGAGTTCATTCAGTTTGAAGCTTAATGGTTAGAGAAGTGATTCAGCTTTATCCCTATGAAAAACACCCAGTGACAGGGCCCAAGGGAATGGTCTGAAGTTGTGTCAGGGGAGGTTTAGGCTGGATATCGAAAAGGTCTTCCCTAGGGGGTGGTGGGGCACTGAAAGGGCTCCCCAAGGCAGTGGTCATGGCACCAAGGCTGCCAGCACCCCGGGATTGTTTGGATAATGCTCTGAGACAAAGGATGGGATTGTTGGGAGTCTGTGCAGGGCCAGGAGTTGGGCTGGATCTTTGTGAGTCCCATCCAGCTCAGGATATTGTGTTATTCTGAGTTTAATCTCTTTCAGGGGCAAGGGAAACAGACTACCCTGCAGGAGAAGAAGGGTCCCAGGAAGCAGATTCCAGCCAAGTGGACAAATCCTCCCTGTGTGGCAGTATGACCAGCAACAGCTCTGCTGAGACTGACAGTCTGCTGGGGGGCATCACCGTGGTGGGCTGCACTGCTGAGGGTATCACAGGGGCTTCTGGTGCCCACGACATCAATGGGGCCTCACCTGTGGCAGAGAAACAGTCAGGTATGTAATAAACACTGCAGGTGTGTCAGGGCTGGCCAAACACCTTGAGGTGCAGCTGGAAATAAGTGGTGCAACTACTGAGGTGAACAGTGTGTAAGCACAATGACATAAACTCTCTCTTTAGATCTGTAAATTGTAGCTGAAAATGTGGTGGAGGTGACATGAAATGGGAATTGGCAGCTGCTTCTTGCAGGTACTTCTGAGAATTCTTGTGCCTGCTCTAGAGAGAGATTTTAATGTAATATTTGAAATTCAGATCTTGCCATAGAGTGACTAAAATAAATGCCTTGGATTTTGTCAGGTCTTAACAGAGATTTAAGTGAAATGGATTATTTTACAGACATTCTTACTGTGTTTTGTCATATGCCCTGCAGAGCTGCATGGTGATATGATTGTCAGTGGATATGTGGTAGTTGGCCTTGTTCACTGCTGTCCTAGTTAATCATTTAATGGCCAATCTGAGCCATCAGTCACCGGGTTGATACTTAAAGTGCATTTGACATTTGTTTATACAGTGCAACCTGCTAAAATTTGGGCATTTCTCATGTGCTGTTTTTGATTCTGATGTGGAAATTGTGACTGTCTGGCAGGTGTTCAGTTCAGTTTAAGTATCAAGTTCAGGCTGTTATGAACAATAGCAAATTCTATCGCAGCTGTTAAAAGGTTTTTCGAATTTGTTTGTTTCGTAGATATTGCAACTGAAAATAATTCAGTAGATGAGAACATTCCAACGGCAGAGGAGGCAACAGAAGCAACAGAAGTCAATGCAGGGACAGGAGAAGACACAGCTGATATTGCACAAACTGGAGTCTATACAGAGCATGTCTTTACAGATCCCTTGGGAGTGCAGCATACAACAGAGGCATCCCCCGTGTATCAGCCTAAGTACCTAGTCTCAGTCCTTATACATCTTAAAATGTATTTAAAAAAAGAAATGCACATAAATACAACAATATGTTGTAGGAACATAGCATGGAGACAAAATGACTACTTCTTTTTCCTTTTTGAGTGGGTTGAGGTTTATATAAGTAGTCTTGGTACAAGATTCTGCTTTGTGACTCTCTTCTGCCATTCCCCAGTGATAATAATACTGGCAGGCTTGAATGGAAGTTTTCCTTGTAAAAGTAAATGTTCACTTGAAGAAATTCATTGTTATTGAGTTTTTCAATCTGTGTTGTATTTTCCTGTGTAGTTACTGTGTTTTTAAACACCTCATGTATTTCAAAAGCCAGTGTAGGAACTCTCAGTAGTGAAGTAAACACCTGGGTTATCTGTGTACTCCATTAAATGTGTTTTATCTGGTGTTTTCTTCTAGTACTGAATCAGAGTTATATAAGGATGTTGCAGTTCTGCCAAATGAGCAAGATCTAGTGAGAGAGGAAGCACAGAAAATGAGTAGCCTTTTACCAACCATGTGGCTTGGAGCACAGAATGGATGGTAAGGAAGTGCTAATCTTGTTACATTTATTTATAATAATTACTTTAAACTTGCTTCTTGTGCCTACAGGCCTGATAACTGTCTCCAGTCAAGATTAAGCACAGGATGATCTCAAGAGAGCCAAAACCTTGAATGCTTTGCTGCATTTTTAGGCATTACAGAATTCAAAGGAAGTACTGTAGGTGATTAGCAAGCCCTTTTTTGTTAGATAGCTCTTCATCTGCAGAGGAGTTCTGGGTTGGATTTTTTTTGGTAGTCAAAGAAATTGTTATAGTCTGTTAATTCCATAACTTTCAATATTTTAGTGTGCTAGAAAAATGTATTGTAATTTCTACTGCAGATGGATCTCCAAGGGAGTTTGTAACGCTTTAGGCCTCTGAAAGAGCCATTCTGCTGCTCATGTAGTTCTTCTTTTCAGTGTATACATAACTTCCAGTGGAAGATGAAAACTTATTTTCCCTTTGATTGTGGATTTCAGTTTATAAGGATTTTGCTTGTGGTTGATTTTGTCTGGTAGTACTTTTAATCCCTCCTGATTTGTCTTTGCAGCCTGTATGTTCATTCGTCAGTGGCCCAGTGGAGGAAATGTGTACATGCCATTAAACTTAAAGATTCTATTCTCAGTATTGTGTAAGTCCTGAAAGAATGTCATGTAAATAATAATGAATTTCTGTTAAAATACTTTCCAAAGTAGTTTTATATTTCCTCCTCAGATATTGGTAATGTCAGTTGCCATAATTGCCTGCATGCTATTTGAGAGACAGTGGAAAACTTCTGGGGAATAAGGAAAATAAAAGGAATCTTGTACCTGTTGAAAATACATAGCCCAAAGGTTGAGCTGTAGCTATGCAAAGCAGTTATAGGTTGCTATCTTTGCTGTTTTCTTCAGGTGTTGTAGCCAAATATATTTCAAGCTCTCTGAACTGGATTTTGATCCCTTGTTACATCCCTTCTCTTGAGCTCTATTGTAGAAATCAAAACACTGGGGCTAATGTGACTGTAAAAAATATGCTGGAATATCAAATGTTTATACCAGGCTTTAAAGCTGCCTTCTGAGCAGAGCAGTCTGACAGAGTGTGCTGTGCCTCCTTTTTCCACAGACATGTCAAAGGAATAGTCTTGGTTGCACTGGCAGATGGGACACTCGCGATCTTTCACCGGGGAGTTGGTAAGGATTCTGTTGCATCTGGAAACCAGGGAATTTTTAGCAGTAGTCAGGAAAGAAATGTGCCATTCACAAGTGATGTTTTGATAATGTTTTCCACAATGACCTTTTTTTGGGTTGTCATGAGAAATATTTCTTGTTATTTCAGTTGCAGATTCAAGTACTGTTTTTGCAGTGCTGTGGTGCATTCGTGGAGTGTTTTCTTACTCTGAAATGGAGAATGGGATAGATCTGAGCTAAATAGGGAAAAGTCATCTGAAAGTCCACTTTGATCATCATCTCTCATTTTCATTATGCTCAACAGTCATGTATTCTGTTTTATTAGTGTTAAAAATTGTCTCTGGGCAAGTCCCTTGATGAGAATTTAAGTATCCCTTCAGAACTTCTGCCCAAACTGCTTCTGAACCAGCTCCAATCTTCAGCCTCCAGAAATAGGACCTACAGGGGAAGGTCTTACTATGAGCAACTGGAACTTATCTGTTTGCTTGTATTTCTCCCCTGTTCATTTCATCTTTCCCTTGTGATGCTTTCCCTTGGTTGCTTTTTTTTTAACAAGGAGCCTAGCCATAAACATGTACAGACTTACCCAGATTATTACAGTGCTTTAAAAAAAATTAGACTTTTGAGATAGTTTCTTATACTTCTAAATTTTCCTTAAACTAAACAGAGGTTCCTAAGAGTTTTGATTTTTGTTTTCCTTCTGTTTTTGCAGATGGTCAGTGGGATTTGACAAACTATCACCTCTTGGACCTGGGCCGGCCACACCACTCGATCCGGTGCATGACAGTGGTACATGACAAGGTCTGGTGTGGCTACAGGAACAAAATCTATGTTGTTCAACCAAAGGCCATGAAAATAGAGGTAAATTCCAATGGTGATTAAACTAATGCTGTGTTTTAATGCTGCAGCTCAGACTCCAGAGTAACTCCAGAAACATCTGTTTTGATCAGTACAGAAGCAGGCAACCTAACAAATTTGTTTTTAGAAATAGTTGTTTTGGAAGACTTAAAGCTATGATAAGATAGTTCTCACTTGTTGAAAGCAGTTTTTGGGAGATTTAGTTATTCACTTTTAGCTGGCCAGAATCTGAAAAGTGTTCTTGTGCAGAGTTTGTAAGGCCAGCACCCAGCTATTCTGTGTGTCTCATTTTTGTGCTCCACTGACAATCAGAGATTTGTAAGTGTTAATTTGGAATGTACTCTCCTTCCAGTTAGAAAACAGTTTATGCAAGGTGTGTGAGCTGGTGTTTTATCTGCAGTGTTCAATCTGTCATCTCAAGAGCAGAAAGTGACTGAGGTTTCTGCAAACTTTGAGCAGTGTAAGTGCTTCAGCTCCTGCTAATTGGCCTGAGACATGGGCCAGGCCTTTGAGGGTGACTGCTTAGCTCTTCTGAAAGTATTAATCACCCAGTAATAACCTGCTTTTGTGAAGAAGACTATAAATATATATATGGGAAAACTGAAATGAAGTTGATATAAGAGTGGAATGGATTGTTTTGCTGGTGGATAGTGTGTATTTTGCACAGGTGAGGTTGTTTATGAGAGTCAGTCATGATGGAACAAGGAAGAAAGACACTTTTTGGGTACATGTTCCTTGTGCTGTGGCAGCAGGATCTCAGACCAAAAAAGCTTCAGCTTCAAGGGAGACAGAAGCTGGAGTGGACTGGGATGAGATGTGTAAATGAAGACAGAGTAGGAAGACAGCTTTGAGATCACATTCAGGGCAGGGAATCAGCAATTTTAGAGCATCACATGCTGCTTGTAACCGAGCTAAACGCTCTCTGTGATCTTGCAAATCAGAGGGTTGTGCTTGATTTAAAATTGCCGGTTCTGGCTGTGTGAGAATAACAGAGAAACCTTTCTTATTCTTCCTTTTGTTTTACCTTCTGATTTGAACCCCAATGTTTCATAGAAGTCCTTTGATGCCCACCCAAGGAGGGAGAGCCAAGTGAGGCAGCTGGCATGGGTGGGGGACGGGGTGTGGGTGTCCATCCGCCTGGACTCCACCCTGCGCCTCTACCACGCCCACACCTACCAGCACCTGCAGGACGTGGACATTGAGCCCTATGTAAGCAAAATGCTTGGTAAGTTCCCAGGAAAAACTGCTGTGTGCTTGCTGTCTGCAGTTTCCTTTTCCTGCTGGGGATCAGGCAGTTCTCACTGCAGATTTGGGTTAAGGGTGGGTGGAAAGGCCAGTTAAAATCAGTTTGTGCAAACTTGAATCTGGAAGCAGAAGCCTAAGTCGATCTGTGAAGCATGATGGGGGGGATGGGTCATCTTACAGTCATCTATTACAGTCTCTTGACCCTAAAGTATCCTTAAAAACTCAGAACTAAGGAGGAAAATGGTGATTGAATTGGGCAGGCACCAATAGAGACACTACAATCTTTCTCTTTTTCTATACTGATACATTGTTTTGTAGCTAAAACTGGGAAGAATCTATTACCTGCCGGGAAAAATTGCCTTTTTTTTCAAAACACACCCTCAAAATAGCAAATTTTTATTGCTGTTGAACATAGTAAGCTTTCTGATTTTTTCATTAGTATAAGAGCAATGTGACCACCTACATTACACAACAAATACAGGTAATTAGGCTCTGGGAAATCATTCACAAGTCACTGCTGTGCATTGCACATGGCTGGTCAGCCTTCTGCTCCCCTCATCATGTTAATAAATGAGAAATTAATTTTAATTGATGACAAACACTGTTTTATATCTGCAAACTCACTTTTTTGTTTAAGAGCTGGCAAGCCCCAAAAGACTTTACTGTGCAGCATTAAGGAGCTGTTATACCTTTTTTGCTTTTTTATAGCTAATGTTATACTCTTGTATGATAAGTTTTCAATCTAATTACAGTGTTGTAGCCTTCTGGGTTATCTTTACAACTCAAATGTACTCCTCTACTTTGTTTCTGTCAGAAGTGGGAGGGAATTGCTTGTCTGTGTGATCTGGGAGGTGGATTTAAGATTCTCTGTTGTAGAACTAAAATTATTCTTGCTTTATAATTTTTGATGAAAAGCATCTTTTGTTTTTAGGTACTGGTAAACTGGGATTCTCATTTGTGAGAATCACAGCACTTATGGTGTCTTGTAATCGTTTATGGGTAGGAACAGGAAATGGTGTCATCATCTCCATTCCATTAACAGAAAGTAAGTAAAATGTCAATGAATGGCACTGTGCAATATGCTGTAGGCGTAAAAAAGTATTAATCACCAGTCAGATGCTTGCCAATGGATAGAAAGCTTCAATGTCAGGTCTGACTCTTTCAGGTTTTTAACAGATCAGGTCTGTGTGGTGTTTAGCACCTAAATCTGTGAATGTGGTTACAATTACTCTGAGAAAATAACACATCTCCAGAATCTCCTGTCCTGCTGTTGGAGCAGAGTTGGCTTGAATCAAAGGGACACTTGGAAGCCTTAGAGGTGTTCTGAGCATTAGCAGCATTAATAGAAGTTTATTGCTTATACAAGATATTGTTAGTTTTCTAATTAATGTTATTTTTGATTGCCATATGATCACAAAGTAGATTTTTCTTTGATTTGACCATGTTGGTGGTGTTCCTAATACAATTTGATTTGCTTTAGTTCTTGAGAATCCATCACAAAGTGGGCATAAAGGACTGGAACAGAAGTAGCACAGACTGCTTTAAAGGACATATTCAGAGTTATAGGAGCTGTGAACACATTCTTCAAACAGGGCAGTCACATCCTGGTCAAATGCCTATTATGTAAATTCTGTTTTATGCTTAATAACAGACCCCAGACTCTTGTCACAGGCTGAAACTAATTGAGGGCAGTTGAATCTCAGGAGAAAAGAACAGCTCAAGGGCAAACCAAATCTTAAATAGGTAAAGCTTGGGAAGAATCTCTGAGTAAATTGATTGCATTTAAACAACAAAAAAAAAAGCCCCAACACTTGTGCCTGATACTCATGTTATAACAGGTGGACAGAAGTTTCAGAAAATAAAATGCAGATCTTAGATAGTCCTAATTGCACTGTTGTTACCTAGAAAATAGTGCAGTCTGATAGGTGAAGTTTTAGGGTGATTTAATAGTGAAAACTCTTCATGTTGTATCTGCTTTGTTGAACAGCAAACACATGCATTGTTTCTCATATTGTTCCATTGCATTTTCCATCCATTCAATAATTGTCTTTCTTTTGCCTTGCATGAATGTACTTAAGAAGGACAGACTTCCTGTCATGGATTTTGAGACATTTTAAATCATGCTTTCAAAAATTATAGCTCTTAATTTGCATCAAGATAATTTAATGTTTTCAGAGTTTGTTTTAAACCAGGAGTGAACATGAAGAATTCCCTATTAAAGCTGTTGAGTTTCATTTTAGTTCTGTTGGTTGGTTGTGGGTCAGAACAGCCTTTTGGGAGTAGTCTGATAGTGGGGCTGAGAACCTTGGTGAGAAATATTAATGTTTTTTAAAAGCAGTCACATCCTTGCACGAGCAGTGGTGTCTTTCAATCCCCTGGGTGTCTCAGTAGCAGGGCAGCAGATGATGTTCCAAAAGGGTACTTGAAAACATGAGTTGCTCTATATTATTCTGGAGCCTCCTGCCACAGAAAGAGAGAAAGGGGAAATGTTGCTGATCAACAATAAACTTAAAAATACGTGACAGTGCTTTTGTGGTCTATTTTGTACTGAAATTTCTGTAATAAGATGCTGTTCTTGGTGACTTTTGATTGACTCTTCTGTAATTACATATCTATTGGTTTTTTTAGGAGCTAAAATTTTAAGCTCTACCTTATCAGAAACCAAAATATGAGTGGTGGGTTCTCATTAATCCTTCTCCTCTACTGTCATACCTATCCATTTCCCCTTTCCTCCTTTCTCACTAGCTGTAATCCTCCACCAGGGACGTTTACTGGGGCTGCGGGGTAAGTGCAGATCCTGAACCAAAACCTATTTTCAGGCTTCTAATAGCCACTTTGAGGCTGTTTCCCACTCCTTATAGATTTACCCTTTGTATGTTCCTCAATGTTTTTCCACTTGCAGTTACTGCATTGCAGCAGTTTTATGTTTGCTAAATGGCCACCAATCTGCTCAGCAGTTTAGCATATCATCCTGTGTTGCAGCTGAACTGTCATATAGACTGTTTTTCTTCCAGCCAATGTGATACCACATCTTATAACTTTGTCATTAATCCACATCATTTGCTGTCTTGTTACAAATCACTTTCTTTCACTACTTTGATAGTCTTTGGAATGGAGATGGCTTGTATGTCTAGCATGAGTACTTCTCTAGTTTAATATACTTTAAAACTTCTTAGTAAAATCTAGATGTAGATTGATAATAGGGTAGCTCTTTCATGGCCACAGGTGGCTGTTTCCTGAGAATTTTTGCTAGCAAGGGCATACATTATGATTAGTTGGAACGAAACTGTGTTTAATTACGTGTTTAAGTACATGGAATTTGCTCATACTGAGGCACATTAGAGGTACCTATTTTCTATGAAAGATACTGTCCTGTCACAAATTATTTTTTCCCAAAATTAGGATATTGAAATCTGGTGTTTATGCTAGACTAATAAGAATCCTGCTCCATTTTCTGATGTACTTAAAATAACAAAGCATGCAGTCTTTTTCTTTCCAGCTCTGTCTTGAATTGGCATTGCTGCCTTTCTGTTTCATTTTTATCTAAGTTGGCTTTAGCTTTTAGATGGTACCATAAGGTTTCTTAACAAATAATCACTTCAGCAATTTGTGTTCTGAAGTAGAAAACAACTCCTTCTTTTACAGCCAATAAATCAGCAGCAGGCTCTGGAAACCGTCCGGGGAGTGTGATCCGTGTGTATGGAGATGAGCACAGTGACAAAGTGACTCCAGGGACATTCATCCCCTACTGCTCCATGGCACACGCACAGCTCTGCTTCCATGGCCACCGAGATGCTGTGAAATTCTTTGTTGCAGTACCAGGTGAGGTTTTGTTACCATCTTCAAAGTTTTTTGGGGGGTTTTTGTTTGTTTGTTGTGGTTTTTGCCTTCATTCACTTTAGGCAAAAATAGCAAGAGTATGGATTCATACTTTCAGAAAGAATGTACTGTATTTTGATTACAAGACTTGTCTGATTGCTAATTTATTGCTGTTTAATGGGAGGAAAAGGACTTGATCACAAGCAAGGACTTAGCTTCCATCTGTGAAAAAGATGCTGTGCTAAGTGAGCACTGCCAGTTAAGGAGGCACTCACCTGCTTTAGGCACTGTCATCCAATGACCAAGCACAGAAGCTTTTACTGAGATAATGCATAAAAAAGTGTTTTGTTTTTCACCCAGGTCAGGTTGTTTCCCCTCAGAGTAGTGGTGGAACAGATCTAACACCTGATAAACAAGCCCAAGAGTCCTTCAACCAGAGTCCCTTAAAATCAATGTTGGTGATAAGTGGTGGAGAAGGATACATTGACTTCAGAATGGGTAAGAAATGTGAGCTTTAAATGAGTCATACTTGGTACTGAAGGGGTATTAACCACATAATAACTGTTGCTGTAATTGCAATGAGTGCATTTGTATGGTCAGTATATACAGTCTTTACCATACACTGCAGGGTTAGAAGTATTTTTATTCTGACACCTTCAGCTTCTTCTCAATCATGACCTTAGGGATGACTGTGTAAGAAGGTTTATTTGAAGCTCTGGTTTGGAGTAATGCACCACCTTCCTGTTTATGCTTTCAGTCTTTGGCAGGTTAATTTTCTGTCTCAAACTGCTGGAAAACATGTCCTTAGTTACTTAAATATGCAGACTGACTGAAATAAAGTCGTGTTAAGAATGCTCAGTGTAAAATTTTTGAGTGGGAAGGAATAAAGTAGACCACTTATATCTGCATGCCCATCATATTTGATCACTGCTTTTCTTGGATAGCATCTAGCCCATAAAAAGAGTTCTTGTTCAATTTTTATATTGAACTCTTTGGGGAAATAAAGTGAGAGCTGTTGTGATTCTGTGCTTATAATCTGCAACTGGAGATCTTGACAAAAAGTGCATAAGAAGGTGTCACAACTCTTAGATCTACTTTTGACCTTTTGCCTATATGTCTGTAGTCTTTCAAAACCAGCCCAACAGCAAAACAACCCACATAAACCATTACAAAGGAAAACCCAGGAGGGCCATCCCAAACCCCATCATCCCACTAATCAATGGCAGCAGGTGACAGTGTGGGATTTCTGTGGGAGGCAGGGCTGGAGGCAGTTCTGTGCCACAATGCAGTAAGGCCTCAAGTGCTGCAGTCACTCCAGAGCAGCTGAACAGCCATATTCCAAATGCTTGTTTTGCTGTCCCTGAGCTGAGTGCCAGTGCTGCCTTAGCCCAGCCAGAGCCACCATGACCCCAGCAAACTGGTCAAGCAAATTGGTCAAGAGCAATTTGCAGCTACTTTCTGTTTAGCTCCCTCAGCCCTCCAAAGGAGTCTAACCTGAACAAAATTTGATTTGATGTTTTCCTGAAGGTATAGGTCAGTTCCTGTTTCCTCTGGTTCAAGTGACCTGCATTGATGGTCCTGGCTGTCCATGTGCAGTTCAGTGTCACCTTTGGTCCAGTCAGCTCCTTCACCCAGAGTTCAAGTGCAACTACAAAACTGCTCTTCTTTTTGAAGAGCTATAATGGAGAAAATGCTCAAGGCTTTCTTTGCCACTGTGGGCAGAGTTGTGACAAGCTGCAATAACTGGAACAGGCAGAAAGAGTGGGAAAGGTTGAACATAGACATGAATATTGTGTTGTCTCACATCTGCTCAATTACAGCTTTTGTCCCAGGGGATTTATGTTTAGGTATGTCCCAGAACACTCTCTAGTGGCAGAAACACCTCTGTGTCTGCCTGGTAGTTTGCAGATTAGGAAGTCTCTGTGCATCAAAGAGTTATAAGTAATGAAGCATGTAGAAGATGAATACTTTTGAAACTGCCATTATTTTTTGGGCTAGAAGTAAAGAATATGGCCAGCAGAACACTGGGCTCTGAGATAATTATGCAACACACTCTGTTGACATTCACAGACTTTAATATGTTTTTATTTCAGCATATGGCAGTAACACTGTCTTTTTAGTGTTTTTCTTGTTTTTTTGTGATGCACATAGTGTTGATGCTGTTCTAGTTATTGGCTGCCTCAACCAAAGCTGTTTTTTTCTAGGTGATGAAGGAGGAGAATCTGAACTCCTGGGGGAAGCTCTACCACTTGAACCTTCTGTAGCCAAAGCTGAGAGGAGTCACTTGATAGTGTGGCAAGTCATGTGTGGCAGTGAGTGAGCCTGTAGGATGCAGTTGGAGACTTTAAAAATGGGGGGGGGGAAGCTTCTGCATGTTTTTTTATTTTGTGAACCTGTTTCACTACATGATGTTGAAGCATTTCTTTGCTGTTTATCTTTATATTGCAAATCTGTCATACCTTTAGCTATACAGGAATTAGCTTGTGCTGTTTTACTGCACCCGTGTTAAGTGGAACAGTGTGAGGAAATCAGATGTTTCTCCAGCTGGTGTGCACACCACAGTGAGCAGCTGGAACAGTTTTACACCACAGCAATCTCATGTGTTCACTTCTTTGGTAGTCTCACTTGAGTTCATTCAGCTTTGTTCCAACTGAGCTTTATTTCACTGTATAATGCATAGGGTAAAACAGCAAAGTTATTCCCAGAGTATGAAAAAAATGGACAAATTAGAAGATGGATTATTAAGACACATCCAAATACTCAGTGAGGGCTAAAGCAAGCTGTGTATTTCAGCTTTTGATTTCCAACCTGGAAAATCTTGCTCATATAGCATACGCGGTTTAATTTGTTACATTCTTCAGAATTTGTGGGGGGAAAGAGGAGACTGTATAGGAATTAAAATTAAAATATTTAAATAAAATAATATTTTTACAATTGAACCTTAATGTTTGAGAACTGCTGCCCTCAGTAATGAGCAATTTTGAGCATAATGTTTTTCCATCTCCCTGACATGGAACAACTCTGTTTCCAAAGGATATTCTTAGGTTGATGTAAATTGGAAAATAACTGTAAAATTCTCAAACAGGGGATATGTTTTGTTCTTTTCTTGTCTTAATTCCTTATGTCCTAAGCACTTAGAATGATCTTCTTTGCCTAGCTGGTCAAACTCATAAGGCACTCTGTGTGTAAAGGTTGGAGACCTTAATTGGAGCATGAGAAAAGACTGAGAGTATACAGGAAAAAACTCACATTCTGCTCAAGTGAGATCATAAAGGAAGTGTAGTTCCAGATAATTAGGTACAAAATATATTTTTTGTAGCTCCATATCCAAATATAGTGAAAAAAATACATAATTTAGCAACAATATTATCAGGTAACACAAAGACAGAGAAAATTACTGAAATTCAGGAGACTAATATTAGGCTGACATTCTGTCTACTCACCATCTATCTTTTTTATCCATAAATGTGAGTTTAAGACCATCTTCCTTTTACATTGAAATTTCTGCATTACTATCAGACCTAAGTTAAACACTTCATTACTTCTGTACTTCAGAAGATTTAAAAACCCAGATTTGCTCTTTAATTTAGTCTCTGGAAAGTAAAAGTTTTGAGGGGTTTTAATAAACATCCAGCATTTACCCCTAAAAGGTTGGAGCTGTTCAGATTAGCAGAGAAATTTAGTGACTTGATTATGTGAGAGAACTGAACAGTTTCAGAGGAATAAATATAGAAACACTTTTTTAAAACTGCCTAAACATTTTTATGCAATAGGAGCAGTTCTGGTCTATCAGGCAAACATGTGTTTATATATTTTCTTAATTTTTTAAATGAACACATTTAGCTGAGGTCTATTGTGTAAATATATATTTAGGCAGCTTTTTCAAATGCATATCATAGCTGATAAACCAGAAAATCTCCATTCAGGTCTATTGGTTAGATTTATATATATAAATACTTTTTAAGCAACATATTTTGTACACAGCTGTTCCTCTCGTAAATATGTATTTAGGACATGAACTATGTAGTAAAAATCCTTATTAAAGATGTTTAATATCTTGGTAGTATTTTTCTCTTCAGAATGCCAAAAGCAATGAGAGCATGTTGTTCATAATTTGCTTTCCATATTCATCTTGAATGTCACTCTTAAAGTACTTTAGCTTAAAGTATGGAAGCTTATTAAAAATTATACAAATACTAATTATACAAAAGTAACCTGAGTCAACATTCTTAGACCTATTTTAAACTTCTAGGCATGTGTGCTGAACATGAAGCACATCTGAATTAACTAATGGGATTGGATGTTTTAAGAAAAATGCTGTCTAAACTTTTACTGTTGTGCAGAATCTTCACTGTGAGTGGTGCAGTTTCATTGCTTTTTCTGCCATTTTCTTGAATTAATTTTTTCTTTTTTTTCTCTTTGGAAAACACAGTCTCCAAAGTTTTTTACTCACTGGTTGATTGTCACATTCTCATGTTCTCAGAAAAAAAAAGCGCACAATTCTGTTCCTGGGTTCTGTGTAGGCTTTTATTTGTTATTAGAGACAAGCTGTTCTCTCTGAGTGGCATTACTGCTCCAGCTGGAGCAGTGTAACCTGACAAGTGTGTACCTGGTCTTTTGCCAAATGGAGCTGTCCCACCGTGCCATTTTAGTCACCTCAGTGGGCCAGTCCTTGCAGATATTTCAGAGAATGATTGATTGCTTCTGTCCAAAAGCAGAAGGGTTTTAAAGCAGACAGTAGTTGAACTGTGTAGCACTATGGGTGTAGATAAGGGCATGTGCACTTCTTTGTATTTCTCATTTAAAAACTTTATCCCCTGACCTAAAGTACAGTAGGTTAACTGGGTCCCTGTTGCCATCACAGTGTGCTGGGCTGTATAAATCCTTTTAAGGTCACTTTGAAAGGTGAATAAAGCACGCAAAGCCCAGGCACTGGGATGACAATACACCCTCAACTCCGTCTCAAGAATGTGTTTATGCATTACACTCGTGATTAAAGCATCATATAAATAGGAGCTAATCTCTTGATAGCTACAGCTTGTTAATAGTTTGGAAACATTTTGAGCACAAAATATGCAGCACATGACTTGCCTGGGTAGGGGTGTTTGCATGGTGAGGGTGAGGCTGCATCGTCCATTCCTTGGGAAGGTCTTCCTGTGCCGGATAGGATCGAGCTGACAGAGCGTAGACACTTTATCATAGGCTGCCTTAGTAACAAACAAATGTTAAATCTGTTTTATTATACTAACAGTTCTAAAGAACGTGTGTCTTTAAAAAATGCTGTGTAACTGAATATTTATTTCCATGTGAGTATTATAAAAGTTACCAAAGGATTAAACCTGACTTAGCACTCTGTAAATGGCCCTGTTGAGGTGGGCTTTGTGAAGGTCCCGCTTTGTAAAACAAGACATGGTAAACTCAAATACAGTTCTTCTGTAGGGATATGAAATGTTCTTTTCTAATAGGGTTATGCCATATTGTAACAACCTATATTGCACCTCAAAGCATTTTTCTATACACTAAATGTCTCTCCCACCCTCTAACAAGATTAAGTTTCCTTTATTAATTTTGTTGATGCACATTTCTCAATCTTTTAAACATATATTTTAAACATTTTATGGTCTGTAATTTTTGAAAGTTTTGTCTGTTGGACACTTTACGCTGAATTTTACTTGCCTCTGTAATCTGAGATGGATTCTACAGCGTTAAACTTGCTGTCTGTTAAAACTTGAGGCTTCTTTTCTGTGAGCAGAAGAGCTCATATAGCAGTGTAGTTATTTCAGTATTTATTTCTATTATTGAATCCATGAGGTTCAGAATGTAACTTTGTACATGAAATATATATAAATATGTATATGAAACATGCATTGGCTCAGTGTGTTCTTTGTAATCTCATGTTAATTTTGCAGAGTTTTGGTGCTATCCAAAGACACAATTTTGGGGATTTTACACTAATGCCAAATATTGTCATTATCAATGGTGTGTTTGAGCCAGTCCAGGACTAGTGTTATCCTGTTCTCTCATAGCAGGCCCAGGCAAAAGCTGTGAAGAAAAGCTGTGATGTCTGTGCCTCTCTTAAGATGCACATCTGGAGGAGATCTGCTTAATGCAGCTTGGATGAAATGGATGCTGACACTCAGATTTATTTTTGAAATTGTTTTAGCACAGATTTGTCAGAGCTCAAATGCTCTCTGGTTACTTCCTGCTTAGCAAAGGAAATGATGTGTTTTTAGGGCAGAAGAATGAGGGCATGGTGACTGCAGAAACAGAACACTAGGCCAAAGGCAGGGTTTCATGTTTTCCCAGCTCACCTGCCCACGTTTGTCCCAGCTGTGTCCTGATCAGTGTGTCAGGAGTGGCCCTGGGAACCCCTGGCTATTCCCAAGGGCTGGGGGAGCCCCACTTGGTGCACAAAGTTGTGTTGGGGACACAAAGCCCCCCTGCCCTCCCCATGAGTGTCACTGCAGGTGTTATTGCTGCTCTTGGGCACTGGTGAAAACATGAAGTTGTTTAAAACTTCCAGAACAGAAGAGCTTCAGGGTTTTTTTCACAAATGCATGTGCAAATACTGGAATCATCCATGGATGAGAATCACCAAATGTCCTGTTACCACGCTTGTACCACCTTGAAGCTTTATAAACCTGGTGTTTTTAACAGTTTTTTGTGCAGTTAGTGGGGTTTTCCTGCAAGATTTTTGCCTCTCCAGAACTGATGTCCTGGTGCATTTCCCTCTCCTCACAGTGATGATTCTGGGGCTGTGTGCATTCCCAGGCAGGTCACACACTGCACTGTGCTAAAGCAGAAAAAACATCATAAATCTTCACTCTGGGAGTGCTTCAGCTGTTCCAGCAGCCCTGGAGCCCCTCAGGTCTGTAGGTAAGTAATTGAATTTTTCAGATGCAGTGTTGAGAGAGATGTGAGAATAGAGCTGTGAACTGAGCTAAGGTCTTACAAGTGGTATTTGGAGACTGAAGTTTGAAGCCATTGGAAATAACAAATCTGTCTGCACTGGGCATTGGAACATGGGAAAAGCACTCACTGTTTCTGAGGTGGATTTCTAAAAAAGTTTTATCAGTTTCCTACACAAAGAGGTCTTCAGGGCAGAATACACACACTGTTTAACTTTTTCAATGCAAATGCTTTTATTAAAAAAATACTTTTCTTTTTTGCTGGAAATTAAACCACACACCTACTGAGGGAGGCTATTTTCCTTTTTCTACAATGGAATAAATAGTAAACCAAAACTCTGGGATTCTTTTTGCCTTCACCTCCCATTTTCAGCATCCTGTCTAAGCAATACAGTCTGGAGCTGGTACTGAATATCCTGGTGATATCTGATGCGCAAGTGCCCCTTAATTCTACTGTAGAACAAGCTGTGAGAGGCCTCTGGCCAGCAACTCCACCAGGACTTGCTGTCATTCTGTGTGGTTACACTTTAAAAAAAAACTATTTTGAGAGCAAATAGTTTCCTGCTTTTTAAAACACTTTAGGAGGATGATGGTGGGAAGGGAGCTGATGGGAAGAGGTGTGGATTGGTGCTTATTACACTCTGCTTGAGCGTCTGCCCAGGAGCAGTCCAAGTTGTGACACAAGATGGTGCTCTTACAATCCAAACAGAATGTGGAGCTCGAGAGAAAACTCATTCTGCTGGAGCATTCCCTTCTCCCTGCCTTCCTGCAGCAGCCAAGCCTCAGGTTCCATGAAACAGCTCTCCCAGGTGAAGCTGTTCTGTCTGAGGAAGGATGGAGGAACCCAAGCACTTGGTCACTCTGGGGTTCAGGAGATGCTCCCCTGCCCTCACCCCTGTGAGTGCTCCAGTTGGGATTTGCCTCTGCTCTGGAGCTGGGACTTCTAGTCCAATTCACCTAATGCCTGGTAAAGGGAAAGCTTTTCCTTTATTAGACAAATGTCCTGCTGGGCACTGGGATGGAGCTAGGCAGGATGGGGGAGATGAGGTTTCCTGGCACTGCAAGGGCTGAGCAGCTGCTCCCCAGCATTCCCCTTCCTGCTGCTTCTCCAGCCTTCAGGGAAGTTCTGTTCCAGTTTGCAGCTGGGATGTTAAAGGCTCCCTGCACTCATTCCCTGCCTGAGAACAGCAGTTCTGAACCTGTGAGCCAGCAGCAGGAGTGGCTGCAGGGCTGAGGGGGCTGATGCTCCTTCCATCTACCCCAGACCTTCCCCTGCCCACCTCCAATGCTCAGGGATTTTAGGGCATGTTGGGGGGTGCTGCCATCTCCTGAGTGTTGCTGTGTCCAGAGGCCTTTTAGGCTGTCTCAGATTTGGAGCTTAAATGAAAAGAGGAAAACCCCCCCCACAAAAAAAACATGCTGGAAACATTCCTAGATATCACATCCGCTTTTCTTGTCCACATTTTGGTACATAGGGCTGAGATGGGATCAATATCCTGGTGTCCCTGAGGCTCAGGGCTGGCAGGGATGGAGCTCCCATCAGCTTTGTGGTGGCGATAGCAGAGCTTCCTCCCAGTGTCATCCTTAAACTTTCCCAAAGCCTGGTCTGCAGACTCACATCTCAGAGCCTTCCTTTAAATCTGGCTGGTGTTAGCTTTGAGTTCAAGGAAAAAGAGCTGATGATGCTGCCCTGGGTCAGAGCACTTGTCCTGCTGTCCTGGTGGCTGAAGGCAACACTTGGAGGAGGGAGTGGGAGCATGGGGAGATGTCCCACAGGTCACCCTGGATCCTGTTGTGTCTCCAGGCTGGATGGATCAGTTTCTACCTTGTGGAAACAACTGGACTGATGGAAAATGGTGCAGCTGTCTGTATCCCCACAGGACTAATAATCAGGAAATCAGAGAGCTCACTGGCAAAGGCAGCTGGAATACTCTGGATAAGAATGATAGACAATTTTACACTTGTTCTGCCACTGCATGGGTGTTCCTTGACAGATGCTGTTGCAGGGATGCAGGTGCCACACATAGCTCTGTTGCTGCTTGGGGCATTTGGATTCTGCTCCTGGGATGGCACAGAGAGATCTGTGGGATGAGCAGCACATGGATCAGGTGTGAAATGTTTCAGTCTTTCAGGCCAGACCTGGTTTGGGGTGGGTAACTGCACAAGGAAATGTTAAAGGCTGATGGGGGAGGCTGAATCCAGGGGAGAAAAGGTGCTGAGGACTTTTTTGGCTGCTAATTCATGTGTTCAATGAGAGAACAGCAGGATGTGTGTGTGGGAGGGGAAAATTTAATCCTTGTCAAAATTGCCCTAAAGGTAATGAAAATCCCTGAGATAAGAGAGGTGAATTGTGCAGCATCCACAAGCCATTAGAGTCCGGTTGACTCACTTGCAAATAAACACTGTGTGGGTGCTTGGGAGCTAAAAAAGCTCTTCTGCCCTTTGCAGATATGCTTGTGTCTCATTCCCCCTGAAAAGGAAGGAAGGGAGGGAGGGAGGAAGGATGGATGGATGGATGGATGGATGGATGGATGGATGGATGGATGGATGGATGGATGCTCAGCCAGGCCCAAGCTCAGAGGTTCAGGGGGTGCAGAACCAGCCCTCCAGCTTGGCATTGCAAACTCAGCACCAGACACAAGGTACCCATCCCTGCCTTGCTCAGGGCTGTGCAGATTTCCATATGTGGGATGAGAAAATGAGGAAGGACATTTCCAGAGGAAGGAAGGTACCAGGAGCATCAGAGAACACCAGGACAAAATAAAGGTTGGATGCAAAGGGGGTGAGGAAACAGCTTTTCTGCTTTTTGGGTGACGACCTGCAATCAGCTGGGCACAGCAAGTCAATGACTGGCTTTTGCAAACATTTTATATTGTTCTCTGAACTTTCCAGGGTGCCTGGAAGGTTATTTCACCATAGCAACCTGCATCTGCAATAAAGCCCCAAATGTCACCTCTGGGCCAAAGCTGTGGCTGAACTGCAGCAAGCTGTGAGCAGAGAGGTGGATGTGCACCTCTGGGGGAGATGGAATTCACACCTTGGTCCCTGTGGGGCTGCTCATCCTGGGAAGTTACAGCTCTTCACACCCTTCCAGTCCAGGCTCTGCTGCCATCCTGGTCTGCAGGAAGCTCATGAAATGGCCAGGGGGGTTCATCACTTCATTCATCCTGGAAATCACACAAATGGGTCAGAAACCTTCAAAACAAAGCATGGAGGGGACTTTTTTTAGGAATTAAGAGGTTTTAACAAAGCTCTGCTGAGCCACCAGCAGCGTTCTGGGCTGACAGCAGCAGCACTTGGGTGTTGAACTGTTCTTGTTTTGTGAGCTGGGCGTTGCAAGCAGTGTGAGATGTGATCTGAAATCAGACATAAGAGGGTGAAGGAAATGAGAATAGGTCCCAAGGAGAGTTTTCAGAAGGAGGCAGTACTGGTAGGGTTTTATCTGCTGACCAAGTGGCAGTGAGTAAAGAAAATTAAAAAATTAAGATTTAAATTAGAATAGGAGCAACTGAAAAAATTCAAGGTAAAAGAAACATATGAAAATTTAAGGCAAGAGCAATATAGGCAGTTAATGATTACTAGGTGTGCTTAGTTAAAAGCAAGGCTACATACCTTTTGCTTGTAGAAAAGAAATGTAAATTAGTCAATGATTGCCAAAATGAAACAAATAACCCAAGGATATATATAATTTACTTGTGTTGTGTTTGTAGAAGACATGAAGAATAGACTATTGTGGAAGAGGACCATGTCTGCACCTGCAAGCAAGAGATCTAAACTACATCCAAGAGGACTAAGAAATTTGCCAACAAGACACAGTTGAAAGGTTCAAGCCTGAGGAAAAGGAAGATTTCATTATGATCAATTAAAAAGACCCCAGACTCATTTCAGAAGAAGGACTGAGCATGCCCAGAGAGGAGTGGAGCTCATTATCATGCAAGACAAGAGCAAGCAGGGTCAGGCAATAAATATGTAATAGGTGCATTGTATAATCCTATGCATCTGTAATGGCACATCTTTGGGAGAGGACTCTGGCCTGTCACCCAGCCAGGATAAACATACCATCCCTAACTTTAAATAGTTAGAGAGTCCTTTGTCCATGAATTTATTGTTTCAGCAGTTTCCACGTTCCTCTTATGATTCAAGCAGACTTTGCTGGGCTCTCTGTGCCTTGAGCAGCTGGGTTGCATGATATCAAGCTAGACTTCTTACTGCTTCTTACTGTGCTTCTTACTGCTCAGTGCTGCTTTGGGCTGGTGTCTATGATCAAATGTAAGTCTGTTCTCAGACTGATCCCCAAAAGAAAAAATCAGAGCAAGAAAGCCAGCTGAGGAAGTCATGGTTCAGGAGAACTGCAGATCAGACTGGTACAAGGCTGGAGGTTCTTCAGGGCTGGTGGTGTTTGCTCCTCCAGCTGCTCTACACCCAAATACTGCCTCAGGGCACAGTGTGCCACACACCTTCCTCCAGGGAAGCTTTGGTGCTCGGACAAGAGACACAGGAGCTTTGCTCCACAGCTGCTGCAATTTCCTTTCTTGTTTGTACAGGTTCCATTTTTTAGGTATATCTCACACCCTGCTTGGCCATCTCTCATTACTTCTCATCACAAACCAAATAAATCACTGATGCTGCAGAACCTTCCTTCTAGGTTCCATCACCTAGAGGGTGCAAGATTTTATTGGCATCCAATATCTTGGGGTTTGTTTATTTGCTGGCTCTCTCCCTCTCTTTTCTCATAGCCTGTATTTTGGGATCATTCCCATTCCAGTCTGGATTTTGCCCCTGTGGTTCAGCCTGGGCAGTGCTGAGCAGGGGTGTCTGAAGTGTGACTTGACTGACCCCGTGAGGTTTCCTAAGCCATGTGGCACTGGGGACCCCACTGAGCCTGTGGTATTCCCTTGCTTCCCAGTCTTTTCCTGAGGATCTTCTGCCTACCTGACTCTTTGCTGAGAGGTTTTTATCCTGCATTTGTGCTAACTTTCAGCTCAATCTGTGCTTTGACTCATTTTAATATTGTTACTATCTCAAACCTACTCCTTGTCACATATTTGGGGAGTAGGCAGGAGCCATCCAAGAATCTGAAGCCAAAAATAGGGAGAATGAGAGAAAATAAAACGTTGGCTTTCAAGCTCTTCCGTCTGAAGCCCAGCCCAGCTGTGCAGCTGCAGGTGCACCGGGCACCCTTGGGACAGGCACCCCATGGCCACACAGAGGACACCACTCTCCTCCTCCCAGTGCTGTGCTCCAGCTGGTCAAGCCTGTGCCAAGAAATCCACCTCAGTCTCAGTCCCTGCTGGCTGCTGTGTCCTTCAGCCTGCTCACACACTCTGTGCACACTGAGCAGGAGCAGCACTGGGGTTGCAGCTGCTTTAATTTCTTTTAGGATCATGTTTGATTAAGCCATGTGTTTGTTTTCAAAATCCCCGCCTATTTCATGCTGGTTTTAACTACCACTTGTTCTTAGAGCTAAACTGGTTTTAAATTTTCTTATTCCAGTCTGAGCTTTCCTGGTCCCAGAAGATAAAGCAGATTAGCCAAAGGCTGTTGTGGTATTGAATTTCTCCTGTATTGCAATGCTGTAATGCTTGAGTCAAAAGTTTCCAGGGAATAGAAGCTCAGTTGAATAATCCTGCTTCTGGAGGAGTTAAAGACATTTTCCACACAATCTCATGCATGGTATTTTATACAGAAACTAAAGAGCAGCATAAATTGACTTGAGAGGCACCTTTTAGTTGACCATGACCTCTGGCATGGGCACTTGGCCAGATGCTGGACCCACAGGTGTTGGGGTGGGCGCAGCAGCAGAGAACCAAACCTGATGAGCCACTCGTGCTCATCCCCTGGTGAAGTTTACTGGTGTAAAAACACCTTTTCCTGGGGAAATGGGGCACCCAGGAATGGGCAGTTCCTGCTGGCCATGGGGACTCTGCCAAGCCCTGCACAACATGGGTGTGTTGGGAGGGGTGGAGCTGAGGATTCATCAGTGAGGAAAAGGCACATCCAGGTGTCTTGCCTTGATCATTTCAATCACTTGAGCACCAGCTAGGGTTTGGATAAAAGCTTGGACTGCAATCAAACCAAGCTCCCAGGGGCTGGGAGCTCCCATGGGAGATGTAGCAGCCTGGGATGGGGCAGCCTAGCAAGCATGGATCATCTCCAGCCTGGAAGGTGGCTCAGAGCTGTGGCTTCCCCTTCCAAAACCACCATGAAGGAGATGCTGATGTGCCGAGCCTCAGGCAAGCTGCTCCTGCATCTTGTTGGTGAATCCATGTCTCTGCAGCTCCTGAGAGCTACTGGGGATACAGCAGTGGGCTTGTGCCCCAAGGAGTGACCATGCCTTCCTGCTCCCTGGAAAACCCCACAGCTCCATGGCTTGGGGCGACAGGAGTGTGCTGGAGCCTAACACAGAGCAGAGGGGCAATGCCCCAGCAGTGCCTGGCATCAGCCCCTCAGAGCACTGTCCATCCATGCTCTATTTTGGGCAGAGTCTGGCTGGGAGCCCAGGACACGCTGTCTCTCCTGTTAAACCCCTGTGAGTTTCCTATTGCTGGAGAGCCCAGAGACATGCAAGTTCTTAATTGTGACCTATAGCTCTGATGGATCATATCACCACTATTTTTAGTGCTCTCACTTCTGGTATGGGCCCTGTATCTCTCTCTTTTCAGCCTTTTATTTTCAGTTTCTTATTGCTGTTTCCTAAACTCATCTCCAGCACCAGGTGGGCAGCATCTGGGGAAGTTTTTTGTCTGCAGGCAGCCCAATGAGATGCCCCATCCCCGGGGAGCTTCTGCACTCCAGGCACAGCCACTCCTGCTGGACACCCAGCTCATGCTGGGTCTGTCTCTGCTTTTTCCAAACACAGCTGAGGATACAGGAATGGGTTGTTGTGTTGTTTTGGGGGTCTTGTTTTGTGGCTCACAGCACTGAGGTGTGAGCTTGGTGAGGTCTCCCTGCTGCACATCCCACACCAAGGTGGTCCTCCCAGCACGGTGGGATCCTCCAGAGGAGAGGGAGCAGCAGGGGGACAGGTGCATGAGTCAGATAACTCAAGTCCCTCCCCTGTCCCTCTCAGCTCCATTCAGGGAGATGGGAGTTGTGTCACCCCTCCCTTGGCACCAGGGCCTCTGGCAGGGACCCAGCGAGCTGGATGGGACAGAGGGAGGAAACCTGGCCCTGGGGGAAACAGCAAGGCTGGGAGAGGAACACCCTGGGGCTCCTGGCTGCTGACAGTGGGACAGAAATAGCCATGCACAGTTCCCTGGAGAGCAGGCACACAGCTTGGGCATCCATAGGGAACCCATCCCCTGGAGCAGCGACCCAGACAGTGTCTGGCTTCCTCCCGTCAGGGCTGCTTCTCACAGCTGCTGGTTTACCAGCATCACTCCATCCTCTCTGGGCAATCCCTTCCCTCTCTGCAGAGCAGGAGTTCACCTGAAGGCCATCAGAGGGATTTAAGCTTTTAGCAGAATGAAGGGGTTTTGGAGAGAATGAAACCAGCCCTGCTGCCCTGGGTGAACTGCTGGGCTGTGAGTCTGGGCTCTGATTGATGGCATCCCTCTACTGCCATTGCAATCCCATCCCAGCCCTGATTCCTTCATCTGTCCTGGGATGGGCTGGAAGGAAGAGGGGGGAAGATGGTGAAGGCATTGATGCAGAGTGAAGAGAATGTTTCCATGACTTATAAATCTACCTTCAGGCTTGGAAAGGGCAGACTGAAACATGTTTGCAAATATTTGGCATTTGCCAGCAAACTATGATTGCTTACTCATTCAGAAGGGGGGGAAAAAAGGCCATAAAAGTAATTGACACAGCCAAAACTCAAGGAGGTCTACAAAGAGGATTCCTTAGATTTAAGCTCTGTCAGTGGGGCCACTTTCCCTGTATGAAGAATGACACTATTTCACCTGCTATGTCACGTTCAGATGTTGCATGGGTTTGTGAAGATTAGTTATGTTTATGCCATACAGTAGAGTTTAACAGTTATCCATGGATTTCCAGGAATAGAGATTATTTCCTAAGGCATCGTGTTGGGCTCAGCTCTGTCCAGTAAATAAGTTGATGACTCCCTCGGCTCCACTCCTTGGGCATTTCTTTAAGTGCAGCCTTGGAGTACACTGTTCTTAAATAAAAGCATAAAAATAACCAAACCAGTATCAAGTGAATTGTAGCAGCAGGAGGAATGGAGGTAATAAATAAAGATAAAACAGCCTGATATCAATATCCTGTTGCCAAAGAAGAATAAGCATTACTCTCTAATGGTGAAATACAAAACCTTTCTTGTGAGAAGACACTGATTTTCCCAGAAAGGAAGGGGAGAACAGCCCCGAGATGTAATGCAGCACTGAAAGGGTGTAATGATGACAACACTGAGCAAGTATCTCATCTCCAAAAGCTCAGGCTGCCTGACCTTTAGCAGTACTCAGGATTGTGTGTCTGTTTAGGATGTCATTAAACAAGGCAGGCTTCCTCCTGCAGAGCAGTGTGTGGAAGTCATTGGGGCGGGTTTGGAGAGTGAGATTCCAGACCAGCTACTCAACGGACTTGGAAAAGCCACACGCCAGAAATAACACAACCAAAACCCAACACAAAATAGTTTTTGGATAATAGCCCTTTACTCTGTGTTCAAGTTGGTAACCTGGTTTCCATGGCATGCCCAGTGCAAATCCCAGTGCTTGGTGTGCTGGAGAACTTGGGGGGGAACATCTTAAAGGCAAATTTAGATTGACTGGAATAGTCCTGGGGATCTTGGTAGTTGGAAGAGTGGATTTTACCTGATCACTGTCAGCTTTGTGTGAGAGGGAGGGAGGGATGGTAGGGAACTGCTGGTGTGCAGCCCAAGGCAGTGCTCTGAAGCCAGAGGTGCTGCTAAGAGCACAGGGGTAAGCTCTGGGTGGCATTTGAAAGCCACTCTATAGAGTAAAATAATGAGTGTGAAGAATTGTAGGGTAGCTTGAAGACTGACGCTAATTACCCACTAATTTTCTAGCTGTGATCCATGAAACACTTGCTGCTGATCCCCAGACAGATGGCTAGTCACACAGGATGGGCTTCTCCTCTTTATTTCCATCTGCTATATTTCATTAAGATAGCTAAAGAAAAAAAATCCCTAATGTTATTGTTCCATGCAAGTTACTGCTATAGTGACTTGATGCGACTGTGAATAGAAGAGTTTCCAAGAGACAAGATTTTCATAATTAATTTGTGATCTGTGGCATGAAAACTAACTGCAAATCCCTACATGAGATTCGTCATAAGCACTACAGTTACTTCTAAGTGCTATTTATCTAGAAGAGTCAGTTCAAAACAATTTTTTTTTTCTGGTATAAGAAGAGAAAAGCGGCTCCTGTCTCTTCTGAGCAGAAGAAATTGCTATTTTTAGGCTCTAACCACTTGTAGATGCTGCCTACGAAATGGAGATGTAATCAAGGAGATCCTTCAGGCACAAAATCTTCTTTCCCTATGTGTAGTAGGAATGTCTCCAGAAACAGCTTTTCTGCACAGCTCCGAGCCTCTTGTCAGCCAGCACAGTGCCCAAAACCCCCCTCAGGGGGAATGCATTTTTGGGAGATTGGTTGGTTCTGTCTTTCACAGATTTTTTGGCTGTAGTTGAAGTGTCTTTGTGAGTGGAGAAGCTGGGTTCTTGCACACACAGCTCTAACAATTTCAGAGTGTAGTTCCTATTGTATTGAAATGTTTTCCTGGGAAGTTATGGTCCCCTCCACCCAGATTGCAATTTACTTATTTTCCAAAAGGGTCAAAAGCCTGAACCATCTTTTTCTAGTCCTTCTGTGCCTTTTCCACAAATTCTTTCAGAAGGACAGGAGCTCTCCCCTATATCATGATGACAAAGTTTCAGTATATTTTAGAGCAAGGAGCTGTGAGATGGCCCAAAAGCCCCAAAGGAAGCACAGACAGAGAGAACAGGCAGTCCAGCAGTAGCAGCTTGGTGTATTGAGGGGCTCCAGGGACTCAGCCAGGGACTCACTTGGTTTCCAGAACTTTGGATGAAATCTGGGGTTGGTATCTCAGGGTTATTTTTATCCTTGACTACATAAGCCATTGCCCTAGACCTCTTGATGGTAACCACAGATATTTATGTGGGATGAAAAGCTCTATAACTTTATCCTTTAAGAGTTTTCAAGGTCTGAAGCCAGTGTGCTATTTTGGACTTCACAACTCAAATCACCCCTCCTTCTGTGTCTCAGTGACACTGCCTGCAGTACAGAACCTTTGCAATCACCCCTTCTTCATTTGCTGCTTCAGCTTGGAAAAGCAAGCAATTTCCTCACCCTCCTGGCAACATTCCCACAAGGAAATTCCTCCTCCCAAGCCACAGCCACACAGCCAGTCACACAATCCTTCCTCTTCTTGCATCAGGCCATTCCCTGATTTGCTCGGGCTCCTGCCGCTCACCCCAGCCCATCACCCCGGGAGGACCTTTGGCTCCATTTGTGTGCCTGTTCTCTCTCCTCCAAGAGCAGCTATTTGAGTTCCACCCTAAGAGCACACTGACTTAGGCCCCAGTTTAGCAAAGAATTTTATCACATGCTCAAGTGTAGTTGACTTAGAGCTTCAATCTGTTTTCAGTTTATCAGAGCAGGGGTGGGTAAAGCCCTTGTTCTCTTATGCATGCCCAGATCCCAGGGAGCTCAGCTGTGGATGAGCAAAGAGCAACATGCCTGAAGCAGAGCAGGAGCTCAAATAAGCAGGAATTCTGAGCTGGCCTCCATCCAGCCATGGTGCCATGTCTTTTAAGGCCTCATTATCTGCACACTGCAGATGTGTCAGCCCCACGGTGGTGACACATCACGGGTTATTGGGTGTTCCACCCAGCTCACCACCTCTGCATGGTCATTAAACTCTGGGTAGTCTGTGTCTGCCTCAAACTTTGCCTTGAATGTTGGGAATCCTGAAGAAGGATTTCAGGGTTAATGCTTAGTATCTTCAGAGCAGAGAATGTGGCTAAAGTAGGCAAAAGTCAGTGATTGCCTCCAGTTCAGGCGAAAACTAATCCAGTAGTGTTACAGTCAAGTATTTTATTCTGCTTAAACAGTGAAGCTGGACACAGGAGCACCTCACTTTCCTGCAGGGCCTCATCAGAACAGAATGAGGCTTAATGACAATGGTTAACAGAAAGACACCATGGATATCACTGAGCCACTGAGGATATTTACCTTTGAAGTCTGGCATATTTAATTCAGCTCATATAAAAATTCCAGTGGTGAAGGGTGAAGAAAATTGAATGCTGAATGAAGACTTTTGTTTTTCTGAACACAGCTGAAATGAAGAAGAAGGTGGGATCAGATTTCTCCTACAGGTCAGAAGTTCAGTGTGTCATTGGATTTCATGTCACAGGGCTGCTCTCTTCCTGATTGTATCTAGCCAGGACTCTGCACATCACTGAGCTTTTACTCTGGGCTCCCTCCATAAGATATATACTGTAGACAGAGTCATTACTTAATTTAAAATGTATTTTTAAGGGTGAATCATTACCTTTCAATTCTACAACACGGCAGAAAATGAAATTAGTTGCTGGCTTGTGTTCATATAAAATATAAAAACAAGTACTTGACTGGATTGTTGCTACAGCAAGTTAATTTTGTACAAATTTACTACAAATATTAAGCTACAAGCCTCTGGTACCTGTGATCTTGGATTCAAAGGTGTCTGGGACCTTTCAGGGATAGAGGAACCAAAACTGTGAAATGTGGCCTGAGGGCCCATGGCCTGACCTGGGGTGGAGGGTGGATGAAGGAAGGGAGCTGAGCTGGATTTGTTCAGTAGCTGATGTGGGATCTGAGCCAGCAGCACTCTTCACACGGGTCCTGAGTGATCCTGCTTCATAACTGCATGAGTTATTTATGCATCTTGGGGAGAAAAGCTATAGCCACATCTCAAGCTGAAAAAAACCCACAAAAAACCAACCCAAAAAAGCTGCAACCGTTTAGCACTTAGCTGATGACTGACTTTTTGAATAATTTAAGCTCAATAGGGACATCTGTGGTAGACTAGCATGACCTCCTATGGATCTGTTCATCTGCAGTATAAAATGAGACCAAGGGAGTGTGTGACTCTCTGGTTAGCCAAATCACAATATTAAATTATGACAAAGAAACACAAGCTCTTATGCACTGGTATTATGGGGCAATAGCTGAGAATCAAGTTGGAGATCTCACCTTCATCCAGCAGCTAAGGAAGGTTAAACTGTGAGTCCTAACCCAACTTTACATGGTGAATGTCTCCTGCAGAGCACCTTCCAGCACACCTCTGCTTGGAGAAACCTCTGTCTCGTGGTAAATAGCTCTCAAGGAGGTTTTACACTTCCTACACCCAGGACAGACCATTTGTGACCTGCAGTGCCTTCTCTCTTTACTAATTAATCTCCCAAGCATCTCCATACTGAATAAAGGCTTTCACAGGTTTCAGCACATTCTGGTTTCCTATGGGAGGAAGGACGAGGATTGCTGGTGCTGTAGGACAGCTTTGAGATGCAGCTTGGGAGAGAAGTGCCAGCCAAGAGGAGCAGGGCTGCACAGAAGACACATCTGTGTTCCTCAGATGCTATGAATTTTTCTGAAAGCCAAGAAACCTGAAACTGCAGCAGCAACTCAGACTTCCTCCTGAGATGGAGTTGAGGCAGGCTAATTTTAGTCACCATGCACTATGCAAATCATCATTCCGGAGCTGAGTTTGTTTTTTAAAGTGCTGATTGCCAAACTTGCTGTGGGGTTTAGACTCTTCATATGGGTCTTAAAGAGGTTTGAAACCAGTCCTTCAGTCAGTGGTGCTGTATTTCAGATGGAGGGGGTGTCTCAAAGGGACCCTGTGAGGAAAGCAAACTTCTAACAGGAAAGGTCTAGGTGACTAGTTTAGATGTTATACTGATTTTTTAACTGGACAGAATTAGCTATTGGTGGGGTTTTCTGCATCTATTTTTCATTCTAGATATAATTTTTCTTAGTTCCCCTCATGAGCTCACACCACTGGCCTGCAAGAGATGCTGGGAGTGTTGGTATCTGCATCACATCCAGGGTCTGCAGATAAAGGAAGCAGATCACTCCTGGGTTTGAGATTTACTCTCTAAATATTTGGCACATGCACAGAGCTCACTTTTAAGTGGGCTTTATTTGACTTCCTAGGAAAGAAGCAGTTATTTAAAACATTGCCATTAGACTGGGCTTGGTGCCACTCATTTGAAAGGCAGAGGCAGACATGGGGAACATGAAGAAGCAGCAAGGCAGGGTACCCTTCCAGGAAGTCCAGGCTTCATCATGGACAGTAAACTGTTACATTTCTCTTCAATATTAAAAAGATAAAGCATGCAGATGTTCATCTGATAACTTTCAATGTCTCTATCTAACTTTCAATCTATCATAAGCCATGATATGGCTGAATTGTTCTTTGTGTTTAAATGAAACAATTCTCCATTATTTCTTATCAACTTATCATAGAGACCTTCGGGAATTTTCCTTTCTCAGCTTTGAGAATAACCACTTCCAGGTTTGAGCTCTTACCCACAACCTTCAAGGCATTCATCCATCCAAGCAGGTCTGCATGGACCTGAGTGCCGAAGGGCACTTGGAATCCTGAGCTCAAAATTACCAGGAAGAGTAAAAGCAGGAGCTTGTTTTCAACAATGAAACTGTGAAACTTCTGTTTTCTGCAGCTGGTCCTCAGTCTAAGTGCTTTGGATATGGGGCTCAAGCCCTAGTGAGTGGTCCAAGAAAAATTTCTCAATGAAATTTGCTCTGGGTTTTAGGCAGGACTAAGAGGGAAAAAATGTGCATGGAAAAACCTAATTTAGATACAGAGGTTGTGAAACACCCAGTTGCATTTAGGACATGGGACATACTGAATTGCTCTGAATGCAGGGAGCTGCAGCATTGTGAATTTATTTCCATTTAGGTGCTGATTTTGTAGGAGTCCAGCAATGCTCAAGGGCATTACCAAGATTAAAATAAGTAACTGCGAGACTTTGTATTCAACACATAGCAGCTTGCCAGCCATTGGAAGGGTGGGATTGAGGAAAAATATCTTTTCCATCTTAAAAGCCTGGAACAATCCAATTCCCTTGGGGATACTCCAGGAGCTGGTGGGTGCTCGATGTCAGTGGCTCTGGCTGAAGGCCATGCAGAAGGAAATGATTCACCTGCCCAATTCACATCTTCCCAAAAATGTATCTTCCATGATAGTGGAGCCAAGTCCCAAATCAAAGACCAGGGAGCAATAAAGAGAAGGGATGAATGGTGTGTCTGTGCTGCTGGCTGTTCCACAGGGATGAGCAGACTCGCTTCTCTCCCTGCACGGCTACACTCTATTTTTGTACATTTTCTCTATAATTTCATTGCCCCTCAGCTTCAAATTAAATCTGACCTTTCCACTGCGTTTGACTGGGGAAAGATAATCACCTGCTTTGTTTTCTTCAGGGCTGTACATTGTTGTATGTGACAGGTAGATAAGTGTACCTAGAAAATATGGTTGCATGTGAGACTAGGCAGAAAAAAATATCTGTGAGTAGGTCAGGATCCAATTGAAGATCTGCCAGACCTGCCTGAGTTCAAATACATTTTTCAAGCTGGATGTTTAACTCCCACTGGCTCCCATGAAAACTCAAAAATTGCAGAAAATCTTCTTTTGTTTTGTACAATAGAGACGATGCAGTCCCCACCTGCATAGCCCTGTGCAAGCATGGGGAAAGAAGGTTCTGTGATTGATGATGTTACAAAGAGTTGAGCAGTTAGGAAAGAAGAAAAGGAATATTTTAGGTCTCATGCAGTTGCTAGAGATGGATCTAAATACATCATTGTGCAGCTCATGGTCTGGAACTGAGGCTGTGACTTGCACAAAATAAACATCACCCAAAAGTGGCTAAATACCTAAGTACATCCTCGAGCATCAGGGGAATATTCCCTGGGGATAACAATAACCTCACACAAACAGCTCTGTTAGAGCATTCTTATAAAAATTCAGAGATCTTTCCAATTAATGTGACTATAAATATTTTCATCTCGTGTAGATTTGATTTGTTGTATACTGAAGATGTTAATTGCTGGAACATGTTTGCAATTCAGAAATGATGGCAAAGCTAATTCAGCAGGGAAGGTGAAGGGACAGAGTGTGGCTGCTGTTTGTGTCAGGCAATGCTCATCTTTCTAAAGCAGTGTCTATTATATACATCTAGGAGCAGAGTACATCTGCTGACCTGATCTGCACTGGGATCAGAGTTGCTACAATTGCTTATTCTTATTGATCTTTATAGTATCTTGATCTAGTGCTATCAGAGTGCCTGGATACTCAGGTTATCACCTCTAACAAGCTGAAGATGATCAGACAGGGTCAACTGCAGCAAATGCAAGAGCAGGGCTTGCACAAGGGGGAGGTTTGAAAGCCCTTAATTAAGGTGAAGAAAACACCTTGGTGTCACAGCTTGTCCCACTGGCTTTTCTTGTGTAGAAGCTCTACTTAATGCAGAAATGATTAAAGATAAAGCCAAGTCGATACAGAAGCATCATCCAACAAAAACAAAGGCAGTTTAGATAAATTTGGTTTGAAAATACTCATTTCTTAGGCTAAGGTAAATTTGTGTATATGTGGGCTTGCTAACACTCTTTCCTCCCTCTTCCTACCTAAATGGGAATAATTATTTCTCTAATTATGATGTAATTGTGTAGCCTTGGGATCATTGATTACAGATGCACTCCTTATCTCGCTGTTTTGCCTGAATCCAAGCAGAAGGGATGCTCCTCTAGGATGTGCTGCTACTCCTTTTGGCTGCAGCCTTGACCTTAAAAAAGAACAGAAAAAAGTGAGTAAACTGAGCTATTTATAGCTGAACTAATTATTTTGATGTGCTATGACAGCAGCAGAATCTGTTTTCTCTTCACTCAATTAATGGCAATGGAAGAAGCTTTCAATACCCTTTAACAGTGTTTGTTGGCTGCAATACAAACTTTTTCTGAATGCCTTATGATGTAGGATTTTGAAACACAGGAACAGAGAGCACAAGGTGTGTTGTGTTCCTGGCTGACATGAGTAGCACTCAGGAGCTGCAAGGGGGGGTCTGCTGTGACAGAAAAAATGCACAGTTTGGAGGGAAGGTGGCAGACAGCAAATCTGTGCAAACCCCTGTATAAAATTGTACAGGTCAAAGCTCAAGTGGCTTCTCATAAGGTGCTTGGTGGACACCAGGAAGTTTGAAATACACAACTTTACTGTTCCCAAGTGGGGAAACTGAGGCAGAGTGCTTAACTTGGCAAAGGTTGCAAAGCAAGTTAATGGCCAGGGAGTGACAACCTTGGCTCACAGTCTCTGAATCCATTCAGAGAAGGTGGACTCATACCTGTGTTTTTCCCTGTCCCTTTCTTGCCACTATGTTCCTGTGCACAAATTCTGTCAAGGGTGACCTGCTGGGCTGCAAATAAACTGGGAAAGGTGGAGGGGACAGAGGGGGATGTCTTGGCTGAATTTTTTTTCTTGCCCATTACTGAAGATTTCAGCAATAAAAAAACTCCCCCTGAGCACTGCAATGTGTTTTCTAGGTCCCTGAGGAAGTTGTTAATAGAAACTGTTCCTGCTCCTTGTTTTTTTAAGCTGGACAAGATAGACTTTTCCATATTTAAAGTTTTTGAATTAAAATAAATACATGGAGTTAATTATATTTAACCAAGACAGAATTTGAAATCCTAAGTTTTTGTGAGTTATTTCTGGTAGAAAAACACAGTTGAAGCTCAGGTCCTCCTCCCCCTCCAAGGTTTATAAAATAGCTTTTCTTCCTTGCTCCTCTCCACACTCTGGGTGTTCCACAGCTTGTCCCTCTCCATGACCACAAAACTCCTGCCAGAGGATTTGTTGTGTATTCCAAGGCTTGCTTCATTGTGGCAAGGAAGAAGGAAAAATATCCGCTCTCTCCTCCTTTTACAGCTTTGATTGGGTCCCTGAAATCTGTGCACTTCTCAGATTGCTTTTGGTGACCTTTAAGGCTCTCAGAAAGCAGGTGCTGTTTGTGAAGCCTTTCTGTGACCGTTGCCTCGTTTCCCTTTGATTTATCCTTTTTTTAACTCCCGTGTCAGGCTGTTGCAGGTACAGTGCAATATTCATGAGAGACTGATTTATGCAGGCACAAGGCTGTGCAGCAGGATTACAGGGTACTGTATGTTACATGCAGCTTTAATTTCTTTTTATGGCCAAAGGATACAGCCAGAGTTTCTCAAATATGGAATTTATGAGAGCCTCATTCATGCAGGGTTTAAAGGTCCCCTGTCTCTGTGCCCTGCTCAGATGGGGAGATGTGGGGAGATGGGGTGAGCAGTGTGTGCAGCCTCTGAAAGTGAACAAAAGTACATAAAAACACACCCAGGGCAGTCAATTGGACACTGAAATGGCCTCTGCACACAGAGCTGAGGCACTTCTGAAGGATCTATGCAGTCCATCTCTGAGTTACAGAAAAACAAATTCTGTGAAATATTTAAGTCAAAAATCTTCCAAGAAGGAATTTTCTGTGTAGTGCAGTGCCAGAGGCTAATTTCAGGGCTTCTAAAACCTATGACAGTGCAAACCAAGTAACAGGGGGTATTTGTGGTAAGTACAGACATTTGGTCCTCTCAGCCTCTTGTCCTGTGCACCTGCACTGTTTACTCCTCTTCTGGCCTATTTGTGAACTTCATATCTTACCTGCAAGTCCTTTCTTTATAGAAGAAGCCTCTCTGCTCACAGGAGGAGCAGGGGTCCTGTGTGTCCAGTAGCTCACCAGGCATTGTTATTCACCTGGAATTTGCATTGGAGATTATCAAAAAGCCTCACATAAAAATTCAAGATATGAAATGCAATAACATGGCCCAGGAACAGAATGCGCATGTCTGATATGGTGAATTGCCCAGCCCTCCCTCACTTAGAGTGTTACACATCACTTTACATGTACTTGCATGCCACAGGGCTATTTTGGGGAGAGAGATGATTCTTTGGGAAGTCACTAAAGTTTTTGTAGTGGAACTGGAATCGTTGGTGTATTCAGAAACTTGTCAGTGTGTTCCCAATGGGAGATGCCCCAGGCAGCCTGTGACTGTCTCCAGAGTCCCTTGGGGAGAATGAAGGGGACCTGTTCCAGCCTTCATAAGCACAGTGGAGTCATTCCCAAGTCTGGTGTCTCACAACAAGACTCTCTCTTTTCCTGGTGCTCCAGGATGGTCAGCGTGTGGTGCTGGCAGCGAGCCCCTGATCCTCTTCTTACAGGCGCTGCAACCACCTCTGAGCCCAGCCTGGACAACTGGAAAAAGCCTTACCTATCCTCAGCTTCTATTTCTGCAGAAGGGGAGCTTTTCTTTCCATCTTCCCTGCTTGCCATGCCATCCAGGAAAACAAAAAGGCACCGCTAACATCTGCTCTTTTCTCCTCCTACGCCCAGGCTCTTTCTCGGCTCCCTATTAAACCCCTTCCCACACAGCAGCGTAGGCAGCTCCTTCGTGTACATCTTGGAGTACAAATTCCCCCCCCACCCCATCCCTTGGGAGTAACATTTGCAAGAAGTGACTGGAGAGGGTTTATTTTTGTTCTTTGCTAAGACTTTTTGGTTACTGGGCTCCTCGTTCTCCAAGTGCAGCTCCTCCCCGAGCCTGTAGCCCGTGTGCGGCGGGGCTGACACGGATGCTCCTGGGGACACTGTGTGGGGGTGGCAAGGGATGCAGAAATGGATGGAGAACATTCCAGTTGCTCAGCTATGCTCAGGTGCATTTACTTCTACCAAGAGGGGTTACTAAGGAAACAAGGAGACAAATTTCTGGGAAAAAACACAGACATTCCTAATGAGCAACAAGCTCTAAACACGTCCTTCAGCTTGAATGTTTGGGGTCTGTTCTGTGGTCCACTGTAATAGGAAAGTGTCTGATTTTTGAACCTGCCTTCACTCTCTTGTCTCTGGCTTGTTCCTGAGGTGGTTGCAGGGTCCTGAGCCTTCACCATGGGACACAAGCTCTGAGTCACTTACTGGAGCGGGCTGGCTACTCCTGAAGCTGCCATGGCTTTTTGTTGCAACAGGAAAAAACCTCATCAAAATAAATTTTGCTGGAAAGTTTAATCCGAGAGATTCAAAGCTGAACAAAGGTGCTGCTGTTCAGGGAACTCTGCAGAAGATGCTTGGCTGTTTCCCACAGCCCCACTCAAGCCCCAGTTGTTGCCAAATTATCAGGTTTTGTGTACCTTGCATTGTTCCTGAGGTTTTATGGAGGAAAAAGTTCTGTAGGAAATTGCCTGAAGGGTACAAGCTAAAGGCAGAGGCACTGGAAGAGGTTGGACTCACTGTTCTGGTCTCCTCCTGCACAGCTCAGGGGATGTGAGGCTGGTTTTGTGGTGCTGGGCCTTGGATTGTGCAGGCAGGACTAGAGAGCAGAAACCTGCAACTCCCCCAAGACTTGCCAGTCAATGGAAAGGAGTTATTTACTGGAGCAATTATCCTTGGAAATGAAACAAGATGATTAATTGCATCAGAAGCTGCAATCTCAAGTGCACCTACTTCATAACATTAGAACAGAAAGGGTTTTAGATCTAGTGTTACTCTAGAAGGGGGAAAATACATTTTCAAGTCAAATAACCAGACCTAAACACTGAAAACAATTCAGAAAATGCTGTAAAAGAACATGAATAGGAATGACATCATTAAAAAAGAACATTTCAAAAGAATTTATAATCCCCAAATGAAGTTCTCCAGTACAGAAGCTAAGAAGAATTTTTTTATTTTTTAAAAAATTTTAATTGTGTTTCATGAATAGTGTGTTTAGTTTGGAGGGATGTGACACAATTGTGTATTTTCCCACCATTCAGAAAGTATAATTCAAGTTATCACAAGGAACACTTGCTCATTAAAAAAAAATCTATATCTAAGCTTTCAAACCTGATGGGTTTTGCAGTGTGATTAACTTGGTGGCTTCCAGAGTGTTTAACTCAAACAAAGGGAAAGTTCAAAGAGAATGGTTCAGTTTATCTTACTATATAATTTTTTTTCCTGTGAACACAGAAAATTACAAGTGACAGTTTTTGTGGTTTTTGATAGATTTACAATGCCATTAGATTGCACTGAGGCCATACTGAAGACATATTTATTTTAGGCTTTGCTATCAAGAAATTTGAAATGCCAATTCATTGGAAATGAATTAATTAATTCCAGAAGAAAGAAAGGGAAAAGTTTGTTGTTCTGCTATATTATCTATTCTTGCTAATCCTTGTGTGCAAATGGCAGTGGGCACGGGGAGAAAGTGGAGACACTTGTAGCAACTTTTTAAATAGTGACACTGCCTGTGTTATTTGGGATCTCAGAGGGAATCCCAGCTCATCCCAAGAAATATTTTCATCATGGGCACCTCTGCATTTCCAACAGTGACAGTTACCCCTCCTGGGAAATGCAGAGGTGCCCATGGCACATTGACAGCTGAGTTTGTCCTCACTGGGGTTTTGGGACAGTGCTGGTACCAAGGACAAAAGGGAAAGCAAAGGATGTTTTTTGATGGGAAGTTTCATAGCTTGTTTCAGTATCCTATATATTGACTTTTGGAAGCATTTTTAAATTACCTGAACAGGTAGGCTGTGTGTGTTCAGGAAGGTGTTTGGCTAGGGGGCTGTTTTTTGGGATGCTCTGGATGCATATTCAGGGTGAATTTGATCCAGTGCTCCATGGCCAGGTCAGTAGCTTTAGGTTGGGACCAAGGCAGGAATGTTTCCTCTTGTTTCAGGTCACTGAGTTTATGTACCCAAGCTCCAAATCAGCCCAAGCTGACTAGAAACACTGCCAGTCTGGCCTATGATTTGCAAGTCTAAGTCTAACCAGGAAATCTCCTCTTGAAAATCTGGGGAGGGGGAAAGGACAGATCTCTGTTATATGAGCTTCAACAATTCTATCTGCAGTGAGTTTTGCATTCAAAAGGCACACTTAAAGAAAGGAAAAGGTTTGCAAAGCACAGCTACTTTTAATTTCTAACGTAATGTCTACCTACCATTCCATTTCCACCCAAACTTTGCTGGCTTGTATTAAGACATCTGAGAATGTGCAAACCCCTTTATCAACCTTTTCCATGAAACCCCTCCTTTTTCAATGAAAAATCTCCTGGCAAGCCATCCCAAAGGCACTGATGCCAAATCCAATTGAGCTGTGGTCATCTGGGGACAACTCTGCCATGTTGTCATTGAGGGGGCTGGTTCCCTATGTAGGGGACATCACCATCATGCCAAGCTGTGATGGAAGCCCAAAACCCCCAGGGATGCCTGTCTGGGACAGAGGTGTGACTGTGATAAGTTTGGATTTGCACAGAACTGGTTTGGCAGGGCTGAGACATGAAGGTCAGGGAGAAAGGGAATGTGAGGCTATTTATACACGGGGTGCTCGTGGCTGAGAGCAGCAATGTTTTATCAGGGACTTCTCCTGGATGGAACCCTTGGCACCCGGGGACACACACACAGCCTGGCCCACAGTGTGTCTGCTGCCAGCAGGGTTTCTCCCACTGTCTCCAAAACAACCTCCTTTGGGGCTGGGCTCAGGGGAAAATGTGTGAGGCTGAGCCTGCCTGGCTTGGTAGCAGCGTTGGTGGCATGAGCTGGGGGGAAATTCCGACACAATTCAGGTCCCTGCAGCTGAAGCATCTCTTGTCTATGTGCAAATGCTGAACTGGCACAAGGCAAAGTTTCTTTTTTTAAAGCCCAGTGATGGTTTGTGCAGTTTAATGATTTCCTTAGATATCTTTTTAGTTATTTATTTCCACTCTCTAAAGGCTCTTGGCTCTTTAACATTTTTTTTAATGGTACTTTCTGAGTGTGTTCTCAAATTAAATGTTGCTGAAAGCTGCCTTGCTTAAGAGGATGGGGGTTTGCAGAACACTTGGGCCTGATTCAGCAAAAGCACTTGATTATCTACAGTTTAATTTTACAAAGTAGTTAAGCACATGCCTACAGCAAGGTATGTCCTTAAGTCCACCTCTGCTCAGCAAAGCGTTTAAACACGTGCTTTGCTTTAACCAGAGGCAAGGGAGTTTGAGCATATGCTTAAATATTCCTCAAGCCTGGAACCTGAGCAGCTCTGGCAGATGATTTCCCTCCTGCCTTTCTAGAACTGGTGGATCTGTCACACTGCTAAAAACATTGAGGAAAACCAAACACCTTATAATATGTTATTTCTGGTAAAAGCAAGAGCAGCTTCTCACCAGTTTGGGGTTGGAGGGACTTTTGTCAGGGCAGGGAAGGGGGCAGTGCTCCGGAGTGAGTGAAGCTTTGTGGCTGTGCTGATGTCTTGCTCTATATTTGGATGTTGTACAGGCACAGTGCAGGTTGCTGCCTGAGGCCTGTGGGTGTTGCTGAAATACAGATAATAAATGGCTCATGTGATTTGACAGAACTTTGCTGACTACATCCAAGGCCTGCTGCCTTTCCTGAATGTGCTGGCTGGGATGGGGGTTCTCCAACACCTTTTCTGCTCTAAGGCTTCAAGTGTGTTGGTGTACTTAAGACTGAACCACACTGAAGGGAGAGCTCAGCCTGGGAAAGCTCAGATGTTCAGGGCAGGGTTTGGCACTTTGTCAAAACAGTCAGCAGAGATGGTCTGACACTGACTTTAGCAAAACCAGGCAGGTTGGGATCAGCGTGGTTTCCCCCAGGATCACCTGTTTGGCTCATGTGCTGGGTTTCTCTGAAACCTGGGAGATTGACAGCCCTTGGACTCTCAAATCAAATTATTCTGGAATGCAGAAAGGCTCCAAGCCTTGGCTGAGCCAGAACACAGTATTTTCTGG